ATCTCAGTCAAAGTACAAGTTAAATTAACAGTTAAGGTACTAGTCAGGATATTAGCATAGTTACTAGTGAAGTTTACTGTCAGATTATAAGTCAGCTTAGCAGTTAAATCTATAATGTATATAAAGGCTGAGAATTCCCTCTACTCAGTCTTCAGTTCCAAGTTTTTAGTCAGTTTCTTAGTTTTCGAATTAGTTAGAATTTATTAAGTAATAAAGTTAATATTACAAAATTCTTTGAGTTCCTTGTTTATTGTATTCTTTTGATAATTGAGAAATCATTTTTGCTCCTATTAACAAGTCTTCATATCACTGTTAATAGTAAATACGCCTCTTTTATAATTGATCATACTTAATTCCTTCTACATATAAACTCTTATATTGTGATTATTTTGTCTTGATATTAGTTATTCTTATTTAGTTTAGTTTATTAATTTTAGTATTATTTTATCCTGTTGTCTTTATAAATTGTAGAAGGTTTACACAGATAACACTGGGAATACAAAGGATTCTGAATATAAGCTATATGTGAACAGATTGCAATGTCTGCTGATATATATATTCTGTTATTAGATGGATCATAATAAACTGTAGGAGAAAATGTATAATGTTATTATGATTCAAATATCAAGTAGAACTAGAGTATATTTTCTTATATGATTGAAATGCAAAATCTATTGGTGGACCATTATTGATACCACCATTTGGATCATCATCTACACCACCTCTGGAAACTTCAAAGTATTTAATTAAACGAAAAACAACACTTTGATGTACAGGATATGTCATATCGCCAATCAAGACATTTTTTGTTTTACAGAGAAATCTACATCCAGTTGACTCGTTTTGGTCAAGAAATACATTATAAGCTTCTTTCTCGACTTTTGAGCTGATCTGGAGAGGCAAACTGCAACGTATATGAGTTAGTACTGAGAAAATCTTTAAGAAACATATGTGAAATACACTCACTCATTTTTGTTTGGAGTCTTTTTTGATAACTTTGGATAGTTTGGATAATTATGGATTATTTTTTTCATTTTCTTTATTTTCTTTAACATTTTGAGATAAAATTAAATTAATAGGAACAACTTATAATTGAGATTACATATATTATATGGCAATAGTGATTTCATGAATTTCGAATAATAAGATTCTATTTTATACATAAAGTCTAAAAGTCTTGTCTGATTTTTCAGTTTGAGAACATCTTGTTCATAACCTACTTGTTCTGAACTTAGAACTTTAAGTTGAGTGCAAATAAGCCATTTAATAATATAAATAACATAGGAAAATTAAGGTAATAATTTTTTCAGGCTTAAAATTTTTAATCTGTTAAAAGGTTATTATTTGGTGTTGCTTCACTAAATGTGAGTTTAGTAAAAGCAAATATGCAACAAGTCCATATTGAAAGTTGTAAGAAAATCCTGATACCAGACTTCTGTACATTGAGATATATTTTAAGGTGAGAACTTCAATTTATTAACCAATAAATATTCCTGTCATAATTAATCGCGTCATAAGTTGTAATTAATTACAACACTTCACTTTTCAATTTCCTTCTTGAATTATGACATTAGCCAATATTCCATTTTCCCTTTAGAATTGCATCATGAGCTATTCTTTTGACAGTATTGTAATAATAATTCATCAATAAATTCTTGTAAAAGAAATTTTAATAAACATTTTTTCATGTTATTTTAATGAAATTTCATGATTATCTAATAATTTATTGGCAAAGAAGTTCTCAAAAATTCTTTGGATGATTGGGCCAAATGGATAGAGTATTATATTTATATATATATATTCTTTTTCTTTATTACTTATTGATTCTTTCTTATAATCTCTATGTTAATAAATAATTATTTTCATAAAAAAAAATATTCTCAAAAAAAAATAAAAAATAAAAAATTACACAAATTAGTGTGGATCTAATTTGTTTTTACCAAGTAAAATAATAATAATCCACATTCTTTATTTTACTAAAATCGAATTATTTATCTATATTTGTAACTATATGCTATAACTACTTTAATTATTTTATTGTATTAATATTTTCGCATTCATTTGATTAAATATTTAAAGTTCTTCTTAAAAATTTATTTATAGTAATATTTATTTATTTCTAGTAATATTTATTTCTTATTTATTATTTCCAAGGAAGAACTTATTTTCAAAGTACTTATTTAAGCATCTCATGGCTTTATGACCTAACGAACCACACTAATAATAAAATAATAATAATAATAATGAATAATAAATAATAAAATAAAATAATTTGATGAATAATAGAATAAAATGATGATAGAGAGTAAAATAGAATAATATGCCAATTTTTTATTATTACCCGATAACAAATAACGGTTGAATTTCTATGTCGATATTGAGAACGAAATTTTGAATAATTTTTCTTTGATGAATTAATAATGGACGGAGGACTAAATAAAGAAATTATTTTTATATGTTATGTGATTTTGGAAATATTAAAATAAATAAATATATATATATATGTATGATATAAAGACATTTACTGGAATTCGGGACATTCATAACCTTTTGAACATATTCCAGAAACAAAAAAAGAGCAAGCAACTTTTTTTAAATGCTTTTTATTACAATTAGGACCTACAAAATAAGAATAGAATAAGAATAAAAATAAACAAAATAAAAATAAAAATAAAATAAATAAATGAACCTTTAACCTTTAATACAAAATCCATGTAAATAATCGTCACATATCTCATCTTCATGAGAATAAATACAATCGGGTGTCATACATTCTCCGAATAACATATAATAAATACATTTAGGAACTTTCTTTAAATTATATTCATGTAAAAATTCACATTGTTCATCTCCTTTCATACAAAGACCTCTTAACCAATGTTTACAAACTACCAATTTCTTGGTGGAATGAACGTAACGACAAAATGATCCACGTTTACATATACCTCGAAGAAAATCTTGACAAACTTCATTATTGTAGATTTGTTGTTTTCGTTGTGATTGTGATTTTGCTATGATAATAAAAATAATAATAATAATAATGAATTTATGATATAAAATAAAGAATAAAGAAATAATAATAATAAATAATAAAATAATAACTTATACGTGTCTTATCAAGAACTAATCCTAATTCAGTCTTAACAAATCCTTCGAAATCAAATTTAATATTACTTTTATCATTAGAAAATATAGATCTTAATTCTTCGACGATCATCGTTTCTTTCTTTAGATCTCCCATATATGTTTATACACTCTATATTACATAAAGATATATGTATACTGTTGTATAAGATAAAAAATTCTTTTTTTTTGATTCAGAATATTGCAAATATTGAGTATATTATTGTTGTTAATATCGAAATATTATTATCTTTGAATATTAATATTATATTATTTAATAGTGATGATGGAAATTATTAAATTCTATAAAAAATTATTTATTCATTCATTTGTAGGAAATTATTTATATGAAATGATTATTTCTTTGATCTATGAAATTCGATATATATAATAATGAATCATCATCATTCTTTTATATATAAAATAGTTTCTTTATTTTTACAAATAGTTTTTTTTTTTTTTGATTTGATAAAAGTATTGATTAATTAAAAAAAAAGGAATTCATAGCCTTGTCCTGTATGTAGTTTCTATTCTTTTTCTCTTTCTTTCTTTCTTTCTTCTACTTTTGATTTTAAAACCTAAAGATTTTTTACATTCTTATCAATAAAATCAAAAATTAATTAACAGTTAATGAAAATTAATGATATTGCTATCATCATTAATCATTGAATATTTATTTAAAATTTTTATTATTATTCTTCTTTATTCTTGAAATTTTTATTCTTAATCTAATTCAAATTTGAAAAAAAAGATAACAATAATGAAAATTACATATACTAAATAATGCATACCTCAAAATATAGGTAAATAGTTGGTTTTTTTTTTCTTTCTCGAAAATATCACGTGATATTTATCAAGATCGACGATCACTTATTTATTATTCGAATTTTTTTTTATTGTAAAAATAGTTGAAAATAATAGTAATAGTAATAAATAGTAATAAATAATATTAATAGCATGAAACACTACTTTCTCCAAGTTCTCTCATTTTATCCTAACTTTATTCTTGAACTTTCGTTGATGATATTGTTCTATCGTTGGTGTTTGGTTATTACAGTATTAGTTATTTTTAGTTAGTTATTTTTTATTATTGTTGAAGGAAAGAAGAAGGGGAAAAGGGATTGTTATTAATGTTTGAGAAAAGAGAAGATTATACCAAAAGAGATGATAATAATGATAATAATAAAGAATAATAACTAATATTTTCGGGATTATTGTTATTATTATGTAAGAATTTCTTGTTAAAGTCTTGATAAGAAATTCTTTAATCATTTCCGTTAAAAATCATTACAATCATCACCAAATTATAATGAATGATAAATAAGAAATAATAAATGGAATAATTAAATAAATAAAGAATAATATAGTAATATAATAATTATAATATGGTAATAATAATAATGGATAATTGAATTATTGTTATTGTTATCGTTTCATTTTTTAATTTACCACTTTTTTTTCAGTGATAACAATGAACGAATATGAAACAAATCATGTACAAGAAAAATATTTAAAAATGATTGGGAAAAAAAGTTGCAGTGAAAATTGTAAAAAAAGAAAAAATAAGAAAAAGGAAAAAAAGGAGGCATAGAATTTTTTTTTTTTTAGATATCTACTGCATATTCATACATTGATCTAATTTTAATATAATATAAGTTGATATAATGTTGATACAATATTGATATAATATTGATATAATGTTGATATAATTATGGGCAATATATAATCTTCGCGAATAATTGTTATATAATTATATATATATATATGTATGTATGACCGCATTCAATCCAAATATGTTCTTGATCTATTGAAATGTAAATTTATATTTAAATTGATGTTATACAATTATAAATTAACAATATATCGGATTACAGTAGAACGAACGCGAGTTACACGCGTAAATAAAATGAAAAGAAAATGAAAAGAATTACCTATAATATTACATGCAATATATATATATATATATTGATATAAAAATAATAAATATAATAAATATTGTAAATATTGTAAATGTTGTAAATATTATAAATATCATAAATACTATAAATGTGAAAGAAAGATATATACTGTATATTACGTATATTACGTATATACGGTGAATAGTATGCGGATAGTATATTTTTTTTAATATTTATCTATCTCGTATATAAATATATTATGTATTTTTATATAAAGTATTTATATTTTATAATAATTCTTGTTTAAATTATTTAAATTATAAAATAGTTTATATGTGAAATAGTTTATATATAAATAGGTTATATATAAAATAGTTTCTATACGCCAAAATTCCAAAAAAAGAATTACGTTTATTATTCAAAAAAGACACGATTAAACAATTAAGGAGTGAAAAAATTATTTATTGATCATATGAACGATCATTGAAAGGGCAAGAATGAGAAATTTGGGAGAATTCATGATTGATTGATTATTGGTATCGAGTTAATGTAAATGTATTGATATTGTGATAATGGGAGTTTTTGTGCCGAACCCAGGTTAGGTTAACATCCGAATTGGGGGTTATTTTTTTGCTTTTTGAATAATGACTAAAGTAAAGAGGGAGAGAAAAGAAAAAAGAAAAGAAGGAATAAAAGGAAGAAAGAGAATGCAGGTAAAAGTAATAAATAATAATAATAATATTATTATTATTATTATTATTATCATTGATTATTGTATACAAAGAAGAATAATATTAGATTAATGATAATTGTAGTACGCGTATTTCTGCATTTTTTTCAAAATATAAAAATAGATGTAAAAAATATAGACAGATTAATTATTTAATTATTATTATTTATTTACTCCATTTATATTTATTTCAAGAATTAATTACAAATAAAGGATTATATATTATATTAGAAAAGGATTCTTGATTTTTTTTTTAAAAAATATATTTATTATTAATTTAATTATACATAATTTAAAGTATTTAATCGGATTTTTAATGAATTTTTAATGAATATGCGCGTTATCATCTTTTTTTTTTTAAGAAAAAGAGGAAGAAAAGGAAATTTAAGAATAAAAAAAAAAAATTAATGAATTTATTATTTATTATTTATCATTTAAATTAATTTATATTATTATTTTATATATTGAAAATGATAAAATTAGTAGTAATAATATTATGATCCTAGTAAGTTAGTAATATTGTACTATCATTTAATTAGTTGTTAACAAGTTTTTTGATTTTTCAGGGGAAAAAAAAAGATCTTTTACAATAGAATTAATAGAATTATGGAATGATTGGGAAATCAAGGCTGAAAACTTAATTCCAAATTTATAATTTTATATTTAATTACGAATAAAATTTAAATATTAAATTTAAATATAGAATTTTGAAATAATAAAATATTTATATTCAATGATTCAATGATAAAACAAAAAAAAAAAAAATGTGATGGCTGAACGTGAAAAGAGGAAAAATGTAATCATAAACAACGAAATCGTGTGCATAAGCAAAACTTTTAATAATAATATTTTAATAATATTTTAACAATTAGCAATATAAAAAAAAAAAGATGGTGATAAAGAAATTTCGAAACAACATTTAAAGGGTAATGATCAAAGGAGGTTTTACCTCCTTTGGTAGTTAAAATAAATAATAAATTAATGAGAACAATAACAAAATCAAATCTGAAACACCAAAAAAATTTTAATTGTTGGTTATTTATGGTGAAATCAAAAAAAAAAGATGAATCAAAAGATTTTGGGTAATTGGAATATAAATCCCAACAACCGATAAACGTTACAAAAAAAAAAATAAAAACGATAAATTGTTTATTCGTTATCCTTTTTTTGAACTTTACAATCAACACGTATAATATTAAAACGTTTAGGTAACAAGTGATGATCCTAATCCAAATTTGTCGTGAATGTTATTGTGTTTAATGAAATTTGGAAAATTGAATTTCCATTATTGAAATCATTATTTTGTCATCATATTACAATATTACAACAATAGAAACAATGAACGTTTTTTTTTATTTTCTTTTAATTAGGAAATTTTCAAAGATATATTTATTTTCTGTTAACTTTTATTATTAAATTTGATGTTCGTTGTAGTATTAGTATTAATAGTAATAGTAATATTAGTATTAGTATTAGAACACTCTCAAGTACACTTTTTTTGAGGATAAAAAATAATAATAGGATATTATTATTTGAGGTATATTTAAGAATTATATGTATGTATGTACGTACGATGTATATCTATTTCACAAAAAAAAAATCATTCGGAAATATTTATCCAATAAAAATAATGATTTGAAGGAAATTAGGGAAAATACCGTACCATACATTTAAATTTACATTTCGTGTTGTGGCGTTACCGTTGTGATTCGTTTTTATTTTTCTTTTATTTATTTTTTTTTGGGGGGGAGAGAGGAAGAAAGTAGCGCGCGTGCATATGCAAATATGATAGAAATTGCATGGATCCAATCGGAGAAAAAGGATAAGAGAAGAAAGAAAAAAAAAAGGGAGAGAAGAAAGAAGAGAATATATTTGATACATTTAACCTTTTAACGATAGACTCGTTGATAAAGTTATATGGAATTGATTAGAATTGATTGCACTAAGATAAATAAAGGTTGAATTAGCGATATAATTAAATGTATAGAATGTATATAAATGTATAAAAATATAATCAAATTTTATTAAAAATGGTTGATATACTGTGCTTTAATTCGGGGTATCAATGATTATCTCATCATAAAAATAATATTTTATTATCTATGTCCGAAATAGATGAAAGTAAGAAGAAGGTCCGAGTTACATTGCAATATTGAATTGTTGGCATCATTTATTTGTATGTACTATATACTGTATGTTATTTTTTTGCTATTTTTTGCTATATTTGATATTTATGATATGTATGCTACATGTGCTTTTTTTTTGATATTTATTCTATTTACGCTATATTTATGTGTGTATGCAGAAGAAAGTTATCAATTTAGAAAAAGTGATAGAGTTAACAAATTTGGTTGATTTTACAAAAAAAAAAAGAGTAACCAAGCCAAGTTGTATGAAAATTAACCAACATCCAGAATTTCGATATCTGGATATAATTGAAAATTTACTATATCCGAAATAATGATTGTAAAAAAATATGCAAAATAAAAAAATTAATATTGTTGCTTTTTTTCATATTGATTATATCACTTCCCTTACATAGAATGGTATAAAATAAATTACCAAGAATTGGGAAATAAAATAAATGAAAAAAAAAATCTGAAACATCAACTGATACATTTGATATCACTTTAAAAGGTTACAACCGGAAATAACAAGAAATACAAATAAACATTTATTCACATCTAATGTACTGTACAATATACATCCCACATCTAGTACGCACTCATCCGGTAAAAATTAACAATAGTAAAATAATTGTTTAAAATAATGAAAATAATAAATAAGTAAAAGTAAATTAAAATAAATTAAAATAAATTAAATTAAATAAAATAAAATAAAATAAAATAAAATGGATGATTGTTGTGTTTCCACTCTTGCCATATTTAATGAATTCTTGATGGAAAATATATAAATATCCCCTTTGATCAAAGAAATTTATTTTTTTTAATTGTTTAAAAATAATTCTATAAATTTGACCAATTAGTTCCCGATTTCCCATCCTTTCTTCTCTCCAAAAAATATATAAAGCCCACGAGAACAAAAAAAAAAATTTTTATGTTCATCCCCCGAAATTTTTTTATTTATATATATACAAAATATTTATAAAGTATACAGCGTATACTTTAATCATCATAAAATATCTATAAAGTATACAGTGTATACTTTAATCATCATAAAAAAATATAAGTAACAATGTCTTTAAACGCTACAAATCCATTCGAGAATATTATTAAAGTTAAAGGTCCCAATCGATCCGATTATGAAGCTTATAGTTCGAAATGTTTCTTTTCTTATCCTCCCAATGGTACAAGATTTCAAACGGGTTACCTCGGTATCGGTCCTTCCATAGTTTCCGGACGATTTCACTTACGTTATCCTAAAAATCGTTCAATAAATATTTCAAAAATTACTTTGTCTTTAAAAGGGGGTGAATCTTTTAGTTATAGTAAATTGGATTCGGTACAAACTGTAAATAATAATTTCTTTGAATCGAATATCGTTCTTTGGTCGTCGGCAGGTTACGACAATAATAATAATAATAATAATAACGACAACAACAACAACAACAACAATAATAATAATAACAATAATAGTGAATTAGTTTCGGAATTAGATCTTAGATTTACATTTAAACTTGACGACGATTTACCTCCTTCCTTTATTTATAACAATATAGCAAATAATGTTTCAACTTGTGGTGTTATATATATGTTTGAGGCTATCATATATAATAATACTGGTGTTCACAAAGTGATTAGATGCATTTGTCCAATCACACGATGGAGTTTACCAAATTTAGTTAAACAACCTGAATTATTAACTCGACCTAAATATAATAATCGACGATGGAATAATTTAACTAATTTTGGTGGTGGTAATGGAAGTGAAATAGAAAATATTATTTATCATGCAAAACTTGAAAATAAAACTTTTAATATGGGATCAACTTTAAATCTTTTGGTTTCATTAATTTTACCCCCAACTTTTACTTCTTCAATAAAAGAGGTACGATTAGGAATTAAAGAATATCAAATTTTACAAGAAGCTGGATATAATATACATTTGTCAAAATATAAGGTTGCCAATAATGTACATAAAGGAAAAGAATTTATTAAAAAATTAATAATCGATGAAAAAGATGGGAAAATTAAAGAAATACGATATTTATTAGATTTGGAATTGGAAATTCCGAAATATGATATTATGCCAGATTTCGATAATACTCGTGAACTTAATCATGCTAATTTGGAACATCAATTAAAAGTTAGAATTAAATTTGGTAGATTTAAATCTTTAATATTAAAAGGTGAAATATTAATTAAAAAATCTTTGAGTGAAAAGAAACTTGATGAGGCAATCAAAAATGGAATGATTTATAATAAAACATAAATTTACCCAACTTCAAACAATTATCAACGACTTCAATAACTTTCAATAACTTTAATAGTTAACAAAATAACAAATATTATATGAACATTCAACAATCAACCAAATTTTCTTTATTTCTTTAGAATACACATTTCAAAAAAAAAAAAAAAAAAAGAACTTTTTGTATAGGAAAAAAAAAATTAAGCTTTTTGTTTAACTAATTCGTAAATATTTGAAATATTTACGAATGCAAATATTTTTTATTAGATTATTTTTCATTCATTCCCGATTCACTCAATTCACTCATTTACCAATATATTTTTTTTTCGAAAAAAAAAAAATTTCTTTTTATCATGTTTCATATTAAATTATGTATTGTATATTTTTATAAAACAAAATTTTTTTTAAATTTAAATATATAAATAAATGTTTTGTTCATCAGGTGACCAGGCCTATTTTTAAATAATTTTAAAACCATATTTTAAAACCATATTTTAAAACGTAAAATTAAAACATAGTTTTAAAACAGAATTCGTTCTAACGAATTATGTATTAATTCTGAAACAACCTTAATCAAGTCAAATGAACTTAAATAAATAAAAAATAATGATGCAAAATGTAAACATAAAAAGAGTTAACAAAGAAATTTCTAAAGTTTTATTTAAAAAAAAAAAAAAAAATGGATGTACGAACTACATTTTTTCCGAAATTTTTTTATATTGTTTTCATGTTGTGGATGGTGAGATTGTGGAGATGTCGTGAATTTTTCTTGAATATTTATTGGTTGTCGATTTTATCAATATCTGATTCAGGTTTAACTTTATTGGGTTATCCGAGAATGACTGTGAATGAAAATGATTTAAACTTTTCGTGTTACAGATGATGAGATTATGTATTCTTCAGGTGACAATGAAAAACAATGAGGAAGAAATTTATGGTTAGAATATCAATTAATCAATCTATTTGCCTAATAAAAAACTTCGATTGATCAGTTATCTTTATTGTAATGTATATTTATAATAATGATGACATAACATTATAAACTTTTTTTTTTTTTTACCCAACGGAGACTTGTTCTAATAAACTTTATTTAATATAATATTCGTAGATATTCTACATATAAAAAAATTATTGTAAATTTATTGAAACTGACTAAAAACATTTCTATTTTACCATCCGACCCAACATTATTAAGCAAAATTTTATTATTTGCGTCTTTTGTTATAAATTTGATTTTTTCTTTTTTTTGTTGATATTATTAAACCAGAAGCCAGGCAAGAATTTTTTTTATAAAAAAAAATATAAATGGATTAGCCTGCAACTATTTTCTTGTACTAATCTATGATAGAAAGCTATTTACACATATAAAAAAATCAAATTTTGACATGTATGGTTACCTATTTGCAGTTCTGTTTTCGTCTGTTTTGTTTTTGTGTATTTTTTCCTATTTGCGTTTCCTATTTCCAATCTGTTTATAAGTTATCAACGAATCATCCTCACCTATTTAACAAATATTCCTTACCATATTAAAAAAAATTATATGTTTTTCTTCATTTGACCTGTCGAAAATAGTAACCTGTATAAGGAAATTTTCTATTTCTTTCCAGAATATTACATAAGTTTTATGTTTAATAAAATTTTCTGTAAAATAATAAAAAATTAAATAAATGTATACAAGCATAACTTATAAATTATATTTTATCTTCAAAATTGTTTTTATGTAAATTATCTTTTCTAAAATTAATATTTATCAATTCAATTATGTATAACAAAAAAAAAAAGAACTTCATATACTTCAGTTACAAATCGCTTATACTTTAGTTGCAGGTTACCTACTTCAATTATACCATTATCTTTTATTATCTATGTCTGTTGAATTAGAATAATTAGAATAGATATAAAAAGGTTAACCTACAATTTTAAGATTTTTTAGATTTTTTAGATTTTTTAGTCGAAATGTAGAATTTTGAATAAAAATTATTTATTAAACTTCAATTTATTGTGTGTAACTTTTTACGAGATTTTTACTAAAAATTTCTTTAACCAAAAATAGTAAAAACCTCTCTTTGATAAACATATCTACACGAGGGGAATAAAACATTTTTTTTAGAATATATACAAAATAAAAGGTTATCCTTTTTTTTTTTTATCAATAAATCAAATTTAAATGATATAAATACTTTAAAGAAATTATCTCAAGCAAAAAAAATAAAAATAAAAATAAAAATAAAAAATAGTAATAATAATAATTTTATACATTTATAATAAATAATAGTGAAAAAGAAAAAAAATGTTTATAATTAGTAATAATAACAATATAATTTTATTATATTATCTCTTAATTTGTTATTGTTATTCAAATTTAATAACGATTAACGCATTTCCATTACCACATGAACGAAATCTATTATTACCCAATGTTGCAATCAATAACGCAGAAGCTCAATTCACGAATCCTAAACATTCCATAACAATAATTGAAGGAATCTTTAAATTTAAAGCAATAAAAAATACTAATACTGGTCATTATCATGATGGTGATGATGATGAAAGTGATGAGAATAATAAAACTTTAATAACAGGACAAATTAATACTGGAATATTTGATAAAATTTCGGAAAATTATATGATTCAAATTGTTGATAGATCTAAAAATCTTATTTACGATTTAACCAGTGATAAAACATTTATTAATAATAAATTAAATGTTGAAGTTCCTAGAATAGAATATTTTGAATATATATTTAATATCAAGATAGATAAAATTGTGAATGAACTATTACAAATTAGTCATAGAACTAAAGGTATTATTGGAGTAGCGGTTATAAAGAAAATTGATTAATTTCTATTTTTAATTATTCTTTTTTTTTTTTAAAAAAAAAAAAATGTTTATTCGGTATATTCTAGTTATTTTATAGTTAATTATAATTATTATTTATTATTTATTAACTTTATAAAAATTTTGTAATTTAATTGTTTTATACTTTGAAAAGGGTTTAATTCGGAGAACCGAACGGACAATTGTTATAATAGAGATATAATAGAGATATAAAAGAAGATGAGCAAATTTATTGTTTTTTTTTTTTTAAAAAAAAAAAAAAAAAAGTACATTATATAAATTAATAATTAATAACACAATATAATAAAATATTAGTATCCATTTTTAAATAAATAAATAATTTTCTATAAGATGAAAATTATTTTTTTTGTTAAATTTCCGTCTTACTAACAAATATGTATTATATTTTAGCCAGTTTTTTACACTAAATTAAATTATTTAAAAGCTATTATAATTAAAGAAACTAAAACTATTTAATAATTAAATTAAACTATCCTTAAATTATCAATTAAAATATATATATATAATTAAAGAATTATAATTAAAAGTATAAAAAAGGGTTAATTAACTCATTCTCTCTCCCTCCATAATTTACCTTTAAAATAAACTATAACTGAAAACCCTAATCCAGCTAAACTCAAGAAACCCAACAACGTAAATGTACATCCATAACCTAAATAATCTTCTAAATGTGGAATTATTATAGTCATTATTCCTGAAGAAAAAAATGATATTCCATCACTAACTGATATTATTGATGCATTTTGGGTAGGATTTGAATCTATTAAGTAAGTTAATAATGCAGGAAATATGAATGTAACCCCAAATCCTCCTATATAACAGTTAAAATATAAAACATATATTATGTGTTAATTGTAATATATTTAATATAATATATAATTTTATAATTATTAAGTAATAAATAATAATAGATAATAAGTAGATTTTGCTTACCTAAAGCTAAAAAAATTAAAGGTATAGAAATATGAACCTTTGCTTGAATAATCCAACCCAATGCAAAATTTGTTAAAGGAACTAAAATTGCTCCAATCCAGATACAATTAATTCTCCTTTCATAATTAATTACTTTTACTTTATTATTATTGTCATCATCTTTTTCTACTTCATCTTCTTCATCTTCCGATTTTATTTTATTCATCACATAATCAGAATATTTTCCTCCAATATAACTTCCCAATAAACGTCCAATACCAAGTGTTAAAAAAATAAATCCCATTGATGAAGATGAAAGTTTATAAATCTTGGGAAATTCTTTAGGAATCACTAAACTCTGGGCAAACATTACTATTGCTAAAATACTTATATGACCAATTGTTAATGAAACAGTTGGATAACGTAATAATTTTATAGGATCTAAAGGATTAAAATATTTTTTATTATTTAGTTCTTGTTGTTCTGATTGGTTTTGTTTTTTTTCTTCTTGTTCTTGTTCCTTTTCTTGTTCCTTTTCTTGTTTAGAAATTGATGATGAATCAAGTGAGGATTCAGGTGATGTCGTCGATAGTTCAGACAATAAATTTGAAAAGGTTTCAGGAACAAAGAATATTACGAGAGAAAAAATAAGGACAGCATAGAATGCTATAAACCAATTGATGTATTTCCAATTCGAATATTGGTTTATAAAACCTCCAATAATTGGACCTAAGATATCTCCCACATCATATCCGATAAAAAATATTCCATTTGCATGACCTCTTTCTATTAAGAAAAATATTGTTAGTAAAATTAATAAAAATTTAATAAATTAAATAAAACTAAAACTATTTTTTTTAAAAAAAAAAAAAAAATGAAAAAAAACAGATATGTGCGTACCAAAGGGTAGAAAGAGATCACTTATTACTGCAACACCAATGCTTAATAAACAACTTGATCCAATAGCTTGAAATGCTCTCATAACTATTAATATCCAAATATTCTTTACAATTGCGCTTATGGCAGATGCAATAATAACTATAGGAAGACATATAAGATACATTTTTCGCCTGGTTCCGAAAGTATCTGAATATGTTGCCCAAAAGAATGGCTAAATAAATAAATTATGATGTTAAAAAAATTTAATTGTCATTTATTTATAATGTTATATATTGAATAAGTATTTATTTAAATTATTACAGTACATGTACTTACTGCTATACCCCAAAATACAATATAAATCGCAACTACAAAAAGAAATTAAAAAAAAATAAAAAATTTGGCAAAAAAAAAAAAAAAAATTCGTTTTTATATTATTGTTATATCGTTAAATTTTTTTTACCAAATACATTTATCAAATATTCAGAAGTATTTAAATCTTTGCGCATATCTGATAAGGCGGGATAAAATATTCTAAAAATATTCAAAATATTCAAGATAATTTAAATTTGAAATCACAAAGAAATTAAAAAAATTTCAATTCATTCTTATATACACACGATAAGTCTCGACAAAAATGAACTTACATATTTACTAATGGTGCCAAAATTTCAGCTGCAGTAATAATAAAAAGTATAAAATATTTTTTCTTTGAAGAAAAATCTTCGGGACTAAAATTTTTTCTTTTTCTTTCTTTAAATTCATTATATTCTTCAATTATATTAGGTTCATTATATTCTTTAAATTCATCATGTTCTTTAAATTCATTATATCCTTCAGGTATATTAGATTCTTTAAATTCATTAGATTCATTAGAATCTATCGAATACATATTATTATTACTTCTTTCAAAATTAGGCGCGTCATTTTCATTTACTTGTTCTTGGGTACAAAATTTTTCTTCCATCTTGTTCGCGGTGAAATTTATGTCTTTTACAATAAAATTGAATGAATATATATATATACCCAAATTTTAATTAATTAATTTCGAAAATTCAAAAATAAAAATTTCCATTTTGGGACAATATTAATAGATTTATTTAATTAATTAATATTAATTCATTTATTTGATATTTCTTTTAAGTTCGTCAAAACTTAATATATTAATTAATTAATGTTAGGTTATTTCTTCTATATTCTTTCATTTCCTTTATCATTTCCTTTATGAATATAAAAAATTCTTTAAATTCAATAACTTAATAATTAATAAAAATAAATTCTTAAATTCATTAGTCTAAATCGAGTTAAAACGAATTTAAGAAAATATAATAACAAAAAAATCATTCGGAATAAGAATTAAATATATATTAAGCTTTATTTCGTTAATTAAATATGTGACCTCAAGAATAAAAAAGTATGTTATATGTATTTTCGATATTTATATTTACCAAATCTCTGGTAAACATTTTCCACAGTAACAATTCATAGTGTCGCATACTTTGTTGAAACTTGAAGAATTAGCAGGAAATGTGTCACGAACATTTAGAGGAGTAGCGTTCGATGAAACATCGGAAGTCGAGAAAATGTCTCTTCCGCCATTAAATAAGCCTTCAACTTCAATATTCATATTGTTAAAATTAACTTCTTCATTAACATTAACATCAATGTTATCACTATTATTAGCAATCGGGTTAAAATTAGTATTTTGAACCATGTTCGAAGAAAGAACCTGATTCCAAATTTTTCTTTTGGGTTGGTGATAGGGTTTATTTGGATAGGCCTTGATATATTCTTCTTTCATTAAATTAAAGGCGTCCTTATATTTCTTGCGTTGTTGGCCGGTCGCATTACACCAAGCATAAGCACTGACTTTCGTGATATCTACACCATCACATTTTCTGCCTGGAGCTTCGATAAGCTTGGACACCTCATCCATCATCATCATATAAGGGTTAGCCCAACGCGGAACATTATTATCATTTATAGGCGTGGGAATGTCTGGGTGTTTTGACTTGTGTTTCCCAGAAAGCGTCCCAATTTATGGAATTATATAAGACTTTTTGTTTAGAACTTAAAGTGATGTTTTTCTCTCTTTTACCTATTTTTGAATACATTTTTATATGGCTGTTTATAATGTTTTTATTAAATAAAAGACATTGTAGAAACTATCCTTGAGTTGCACCTAAAGGTGAACCAAATTTCACCAATCGCCAATCACCATTGAGGAAATACTGTGGTGACAGGTGACACAAAACTAACCGAAATCAAAGTGAGATGATACAGTGTGTGTCACTATATGGATGAATTATCACCCCCGTGATTATGGATGAAGGTAAATATATAAAATAGCTGCGGAAAAAGAAAGAAAAACAAGAGATTCCTTTTTGCCAAAAAGAAAAAGAACCAAAATAAAAACATTCTTAATATTTCGAACAACCTTAGTTTTAGTTTTATCATTTTTATCTTGAACATTTTGTTTTACTTTTGCTTTTATTCGTAATAATTTAATAATAATAAAATAATATAGTCGCGGAACTAGCAAAGTGATAAGATACACCAAAGCAATAATATATCGCTATTGTTACATCCTTACGCTAACCTTTAATAAATTGTTAATAAACTATTTTTGTATTTTCTTGGCAAGTTACATCAAAAGTCTACATCAGTTTTGGTAGTGTGCAAGCGGTAATAAAGATACTTTTACTCCACTTGCTCATAGTACCTTTAGATATTACACGTAGCTATATAAATTGTGATTGTTAGTAAGCAGGTTTAGATCGACTAATTGCCTGATCTTACTACGTGAGAGTATTGATAGAGATATTTTTGTTGTGTAATAAATTTGAGACTGATTGACGTAATTTTCCATATCGTTCTGCACAAACCGTGACAACACAATGAGTAATTTTAAATTGAACAAACTTTTTATTAAGATTTGTATTTATTAGTGCGAAAAAAATCAAAAATAAATTTAGCTTTTCCGATTACATCGCATGCTCTTTTAGTCCCAATTACCTAATACGAATTCGTGTAACTTTACCTTTAATGTGCTGTGCTTACGTAACATAGATTTATGGCAGTCTTTGACGAATAGGAAAATTACCACATATTTGTATAACCTATAAAATCATTATGTCTGAACAAAATACTATAACAAATGACGCTGAGGATGTTCGAAAATACAATACTGAACAACTTATTGTTTTTTTTTTGCGTGAGCAGGACCTACAGCTTAATGATAAACATTTTGAAAACTTACACAATGAAGAAATCACCAGTCATGATTTTCTCAAGATAACTAATGATGAACTTAGAACTTATGGTATGAAGGGTGGACCTGCGAAAAGACTTGTAGAATTTTCCAAGGAAGTTAAAGAGAGATCAGCTGTTACCTACAGTCGGTTTGTCTTATTTTATCATGTTTTTGACCTGGTAATTCTTATCGCTAATCTCTTTTTTTCTACCAGAAACAACTGTCTTAAGTTGTGAACAGTTACTTGATGAAATTGCTTCATTGAGGGCACGTCTTAACAAGTCGACACATGGTACGTATAAAACATTGAGATTTCGTTGGATTTCCAATGAGTTCTTTATTAATTCACCTTTATTTTGTAGTGTTTGACATCATTGTTCATCGAAATGGACGAATGGATCATAAATGTTGATCAAGTGACTCTTATGGACTAAAGAAAGCTATATATGTAACACTAGTGAATAATAATGAAGCGATACTTGACTTCGGGTATGGCGGTGAAAAATTCCAGCCTCGAGATCAAGGATTTCGTAATATGCTTCGGCAATTTATCTCGAAATCAAAAAAATGAAACCATTAAATTCACTGTATACATTATTAATTCTTCAAAACCCTTTTTTCAGAATGGAATCTCCAAGAAGAGTGTGAGCTTTATGGAATTGTTTCTGAAGATGAAACCGCAGCATTAATGAAATTTCCGCCTTTTGCTTGTGGAAGCAAGGATTTGAAGATGAATCTTCACAGAAAATGCACAGTTTACTAATGCAAGTTTTAAATTTTTTGCGTCGGGCCGTTCCACTGGATTATAATGAGTCATCAAAATCATCCTATGTGCTTCCATTTCTTGTTGCTGGTGCATCTTTATACAAAGAAAAGTTTAATGTCATACCAAAATTAAATATCAAGGGAAATTATGGACATGGACCAGTTGATTATGCAATTGAATTACAAATAGAATTTCAAAACTCGAGAATTGTTGGTAAGTAAAGCACGAAAATTTTGCAAAAGGCGTTGCTCAGAATGCCGTTCAGATTGAATCAGCTTTATCAAGTCGCAAGTGTAAAGCCGATGAGATGGAGGAAGAAGATAAAACTGATAACGGAAGACTGAATTTCAAATTATCAAAACCGATCATTATTGATTATTATACCGAAGATACGGATATTAGAATCAAAAAGATTCACGGTCATATTGCCTGGTTATTGGAAGAGCAAAGAAACGAGCAGAAGATCTACGGCAACAAAATCCTAAAAGATTCAAAGGAAACAATGAAAAAATGAAAAAACATAAAAAATATAAAAAACTATTTTTCGTTTTGATTGGAAAGCTGATAGTTAATAATAAATTTCTCCTTTGCAGTAACATCTGAGATTGTTGCAATGTTTTTTTGTACAAAAGATCAATGATCTCTCGGGTGATGCGATATCAAACCTGAAATTATTGATATCAAAAATGGTATTAAGTAATCTTAAAGACAAGAATGAATCACGTATTATATAAAAAGAAGAGATATGTACCATCAACATTGAGAGAACGATTAGCAAATAAAGCTCGAACAGACGAAAAATTTTAAAATGATAGTAATTCGCTCAATTTTGATTATATAGGTCTGTCCTTTTAACTGACAAGGAAGAAATTAAAACAACAGTCCTGAACAATTTTCAGAAGTGGACCAGAAAGTGAAGACATATAATATGTAATTAATTTTTGTCTTTGAGGTTACTTAGTACCATTTTTAATATTACTTATAATATAAAAAGTTTTATATGTAATAACATCAACAATCTTGTATATTCGTCCGTCACTTTGTTAATTGTACAAAATTAATAATAGTACGAAAAATCACGTGATACGGAAGATTACACACAGAATTTTTTTTTTTTTTTAATCAGGGTATATTCACGAACGTCCGTGAAAAATTTCGACCATAAATTTTCCGTAATTCTGGCCAGAATTACAAAAATTATGGAAATAATAAATTAGTATAATTATAACATAATTATAAACAAAATCGTCGAGGTTATTACATACAAATTTTTTATCTTATAAGTAAATATTAAAAACTGTACTAAGTAATCTCAAAGACAAAAATTAATTACATATTATATTAAAAGAACAGATCTATATAATTAAAATCGAGCGAATTATTATTATATTAAAAAGTTTTGTCCGTTCGAGATTTAAAGAAGAGATATGCGCTATCAAAATTGAGAGAAGAATTAGCAGTTTTATATAATACGTGATTTATTCTTGTCTTTAAGTTTACTTACTATAATTTTTAATATTTACTTATAAGCTAAAAAGTTTTATATGTAACAGCTATCGGTGATTATTTCCGATCTTATATATAATTACATTATTGCAACATAATTGTGACATTGTGACATAATTACATTGCGAATTGTTGCTATTAAAAAGATAGTTGCAACTCTTGTCACAATTCACTAATTCCATCAGGTATTACTAATTTACAGCAGAAGAAATTTAAAGAAATATCGGAATAGAGAAATTTTAACCAGTCATAGAGCAAATTTATAGGCTGCTCAATAAAAAATATTCTATTGTTTTTGATTTAAGATGCATGGCACATGCAATTAATTTAGTTCTCCAGATTTTGCTAAAATACACTGGTCAAATAAACAAAACTCAAAATCCTATTGATGGCACAAATCAGGTATCTATTTATAAAAATTCATAAAATAGAAATTCCTATTCATAAATCATAATAATTGATAAATTGGAAATTCCTATCTAAATCAACTGCCTATACTTAATAAATCTTAGCAAAATTCACCATCAATCAGAGTCCTATTCATGATAAAACCATCATATTTTTTCCATTTAACTAGTAATAGATTTTATAAAAAAAATTATTCTCAATTGTGATAACATTATTGGATTTTTCAATCATTCATATGGTTACTATAAGGAGTAATTAAATATAATGAAAATCAAAGGAGATGAAATCCAATCTTATTATAAAACAAGACTACAGCTGATTTTATTATACAATCCAAACTAGTATTTTTATTGGATAAAAATAAATTTTAAATTTGTTATTTATATATTTTATAAATATGTATTTAAATTCATTCAAATTTTAAAAATAAAATTGTATTTACTTTGCTTCAAAATGGAAATTTTATTTCAAATATTATTAAATAGCATCTTATTCTTAAACTAGTAAAGAATAAACAAAATGTTCTTGATTCACAAAATTCAAATTTGATTGATTGTTTTATTGAATTGATATAGTAAAACTTAATACAAAATTAATCAAATTCAATTTATAAATCAAAGATCTATATTTCTAATTATAATCACTATTTGAAAGAGTTTATTAACAATTCATTATATAGAGATGAGATGAGATATTCTTTTTTAAAACTTTATTATATTAAATTATAGGTCTTGAATAAAATATATAAATTGCACTAACCTTATGATATTATTTAGGTAATAGTGAAGAATCATGTCTCAAGCTTTAATGAAAATGAGATCTTGGAAAAGAAAAACTACATCTGATGATCTTAGTTTTGACAATTTTGAAGAATACAAATGAAATAATTAATGTTTAAGGAAATGAAACTGATCAATTACAGGAGTTGACATCATTATTATTTTCTATTTTTCTGTCTCTATAATCAAATAGTTTTGAAAGAATAACATATAAATTTGACTTTATCAAAAATGGAATCTATGGAAAAGATTTGCTCCTATTATATTTCTAATACAGATACAATTTTGCAATAAGAATTTAAGTGAAAATGAATTATATAAGAGCATTGATAAGTCTATACTTAGTGTTCCTAACAAATAAAATCAACTTGAATCAACTCAAATCTTATAATATGACCCTGACTCCTGAATTAAATCAAAAAGTATAATCCTAAATTCAAATTAAGTAACTATGACCTCCAAATCAATAATCATGAATCATAACTCCTGAATCAAATAAAAAAAAAATTTCATACAAAATGTGTAAAATATTTCAAAAAACAATTTTTTGTGTAAAATATTTCAAAAAACAATTTTTATTAAAATATAAAACAGTATTTATAAATACATTTACCATTAAATATGTAAAAAACTAATATATAAATAATTATTAATGTACTAATAAAATATATGTAAATTGATCTGAAGAACAATTTTAATTAATATACAAAATATCTTTAAAACGGCAGTTTTCGAGAACGTATAACATTTATAAAATATTTTACTGTCGAATATCTTGAAAGCTAATGCAAACAATTACTGCAATACTAATAAAATATGTGTAAATAACATAAGTTATAACTTTTATTAGTGCACAAAATATCTTTAAAACAACGGTTTTTGAGATCGCGTGACATTTATAAACCCTGGTCAACCCCGAGTTTAAAAATTATTGACCCTAACCCGATTCGATTCGTACCCCGGATCGAGTTACACTGATCAACTCGGGTCGATCAGACCCGTTAGGTGCACTATCTATACTTACATATGATATATTTGAAAAAAAAAGAACAAGGAAATTTAAATAATGATGAAAATTTCGATGTATCAGAAAAGAACACAGAAGTATACATGTTGTTCAAATTTACATGTTGCTCAAATTACTCAAATTATTAAAAACATAGTAAATTAACTTGAAATTTGGGATTTGGGACTATAGGAATTTAATAGTAATTTGGGATTTGGAAATCAGCATTTGAATTTGGGTAAACACAGAAGATGAAAATGTATCATCTACTAATACTGAATATAAATCAATTTGTTGACTTTAACATTACCTGCATTTTTGTTTACAGGAAATAATTTATTTAAATCTATTACTAATAGATCAAATGTAAATGAAAGAATGAAAAGAAGCAATATGAAGTATAATCCAATTGGATTAATACAACCGGTATTAAATGAGGAATAATAAGAAAAAACTCTTTCCATTGATCACTTGTATCAAATATTCCTGTAGTTGAAAATCAATTTTTCACTTTATACAAAGTTTATTTTCTATTTAATTTTTTGTTCTTTAATGGTTAATGGAAATAAATATAATACATTGGTAGAAACACTTCAATTTTAATAACATTATTCCTATAGAAGAATAAGAAGGAGTACTTTTGATACAAAAGAATATAAACAAAAAATAGATTCTTAGAAGAGTCTGCTAAGATATGAACTGAAATAGGAGTTACCAAACCAGATCCAAGTGCTTGTTTCATTGTAGAACTGGAAGGTTCGGATAAAATGGGTAGTAATGAAGAGGATGACAACTTTTATTAGAAATGCAAAGAAATGTGAAGCCAATAACTTTACCAAAGAGCATTCCTCCTAATGTCTAGCAGAAATAAAAGGAAAAACTTTTATTAATGGTATCTATCAGACGATCACATGATAAATATACTTGGGCTGCGTAATCAATTCACACTAAAAAAAAGACTTTTATGTGAATAAAAACATTTTAAAAATTATACGCAACAAAATTAAGAGAAAAATTGCTGTCCGGAATTGTTTGCAATTTAATGGATGCTTAATTTTTTTTTTTTTAGTATGAAGTAGAATAAACTAGTTATTGCTGAACAAAAAAAATTTTTTTTTTTACGATAATCAAAAAAAATTTATTTTTTTCAGATCAATCAAACAAAAAAAAAAGATTCGATTTGTACAATTATAAAATATCCGATTAAAATCAATAAATTAAATAAATTACATATAAAACAGAATATAATAAAGGAAAAAAAGTATTTGATACCAATAATTGATATAAACATTAATAATATTTTACCAACTACTTATTTCACGTAAAGGAATTATGCGAACAAGATAATCTTTTCGTAATTTTTTTATGATTCTCCATTCTCGTTTAGCGAAAGAATCTTTTGAACCACCACCTCCTATACCCAAAACTTCCAAATTATCATTTCTCTTGGCATACTCGATGATAACCCTAAAATGGGAATAATCGAAATTTCTATAATCCACTATCAAAGTTTTTAAATCACATCTTGATAACAAATTATCTAATTGAACCGTGGTAAATCCACACTTTAATATTAAACATTCTAATGATGGTGGTAAATCATTCGATGTTAATATCATATTTTCATAATCCGCATTCTTGGAACTAATAAATATTTCTAATTCTCGTAAATATTTTAAACCTCTTAATAATTCTCCAATTTTCGTGGTTCTTCTTATAAAATAATTCGCTAATTTGAGTTTAACTAAATTAGGACAATGTTCTAAAATTGTTTCAATGGTTTCAGGTGTTACCAAATCTAACGTTAATTCTTTCAAAAATTTATCCGCAATTAAAGATATTAATAATATTTGAGATGAGGATTCAATAGGTGAAAATCCAATGACAAAAGATTTTAAAGTAAATTCATTTAAATTCGAAATATTCTTTTCGGTTAATCCTTCACAATATTGTATGGTAAGATTATTTAATTCTTTACAATTGGCTAATAGTTGAAAATCAACATCTTTAAAATCACATTTCATAAATTTAATTGATTTTAAAGAATTCGCTTGTGATGATAAAGCTAATAAAATTGTTTTTACTCCATATCTTAATCCCAATACGTTAAATTCGGTTAATTGGGTTTGAGAATTAATAATGTTTGCAATTGCATTTATTTCTATCTCCATTTTATTATCCACGAAATAAGGAAATTTTAAAACTAACGTTAATAGGTTATTACTATATTTAGCAATGTATTTTAAAAGTTGAAGTGTATTTATGGTCATCTCCCTTTCATATTCAAATTCAAATCTTAATAAATTTGATAAAGTACATTCGGCGTTAGAGAATACTAAACTCCTTGGTAAATCCATTTTACCAAAGAATTTGATTATTTCAAAAGAAGCAATATTTCTACTTTGACGCATAAATAATTGACAGAGGGCGCCAACTATTAAAATTGTTTGTTGATGTTTACTGTATCCAAGAACTTCTTCATTAAGATATTTTTTAATTCCGGAATCAACTGCCATATATAAACTAGTATATGATAATCTTTCTAAACATGACGCGTATTTAAATAACGCCGATGCTGAATAAGGAATTTTTAATTTGAACTTTTTTAATGAATAATTTAAGCAAGACTTTTCCTCTTCTTCAAGACAAGAGATATATGTACGAATTAATTTGTATCGATTTTCTGTTGACACATTATCAAATGGTCGTTCCCAAAGTAATGGGATCACATTGATACACCAATATTTATTTACCAAAAGACAAGAAAGAATGTCACGTTTTTTCTCAACATGTTTGATTATACGTCGCATACATTCTACAGGTAATTTAGGAATTGATTTTCCTCTCGACATAATAATTATTGTTTTTTCATTTTTATCCATTTGATATTGTGATATTGACATGATTGAATCACGACGTACTCGTTTCTTTACATCCTTGAATATTTCTTTCATCTCTTCCATTGCGTTTCTTTTAGGAGGAACTTGTTTTTCTTTTTTATAATCATTAAATATCTCTCTTACATCAACTGCCATATTTGTCAAAGCAACCATATTGTTATTACTATTATTATTAATACTACTACTATTATTATTATTATTATTATTATTGTAATATTGTACTGAGGTAGAATTTATTTTTCGTGTTGAAAATTTTTCAAGTTCTTGCGTTGTCGTCGTCATAGTAGTAGTAGAATTTGGAGGTTTTTTATAGTTAAAAAATCCCACTAAAAACTCTGTACACTTACAATACCTTTCTGTCATTCTGTAAAATTCGTTTAACGTCTTTTTGGAAAGGTACAAAAAGTTTATTTATTTTAGTTTTTTTTTTTTTTTGTTTGATTCGCACGCATTTTTCATACATTTAAGAAATGTATTTATAATGTACCAAGGTGACACAAGAATTGCAGGATTTATTCTTTGAAATAACTCCAGTAAAATTTACTCTCTTTTCAGGTATTGCCCCAAACACACATGAACCGCGTGATTTTAATTATGTTTAAAAGGGATAACCTGTTAAACGCGGATATGATATGATTATGCTATTTTCAAAATATGTTTATTCTTTTTAAATAAATAAAAAAAGGAGAATGCAGGTTGGTTGTTTCTTTGTGACATTTTGATTTGATTTTATTTACCAAAACAAAACAAACCAAAAAAAAACAAAATAAACCAAGTTGCTAAATTTTACCAGTTGCCGGTACTATTACCGCCATTTACTTTATTTGTTATTTGTTTCTTCATTTTATTTCTAATTAAAAAATTTAAAAATTTTTTTGATTATTGAATTTTTATCTTTAACGAAATTTTACTCTTCTATTAAAAAAAATTTGATTATCAACAATTTAATATGAAAAAAAAGTAATTTAAGGAATTTAAGGAATTTAAGGGGCGAAGTATGAATTCATTTTTGTTCATTTCCAGTCTTTTATTCGGTTCTTCTTTTATAAATCATAAATTAATTTAACATTATTATTAATTGAAGTTCAGGAAAGAATCATGGATGAATCATGGATAAGGCGCAGAGATGAAAGGGTTAAGGTTCAATTTTTTAAATGAAAGTGTAACACGGAAAGATCGATCGCCTAATAAATGAGTGGAGTGGGCGTGGTGGAACTTTTATTTCAAACCTGTTATATTCTTTCTGTTATTTTACGATTACTTAAAACAAATTATTTATTTATTATTTATTTATTATTTGTTAAAAAAATAAAAATATTTACATTGGCATAATATTTAAATTTTTCACACAAAATTATTAGTATACAATTTCCTTTTTAGAAAAAAAAAAGTCTAAAATTCAAATTATTACCTTTCATATAAAGTAATCACATTGACTAACTATTTCTCAAGTCTATTCTATTTCTATATTAAATATTTCATTGTGCTTTTACTTGTTTTATACCATACTAACAAGTCGCAAGTTTCGCAAGTTTCGCAAGTTTCTCAAGTTCTTCAAGTTTCTCAGGAGTCGAAGGAAAAAGCTATTAATGTACGTAATCAGCAGCTTAAATTGATGTGTAACAAAAAAAAATGAATGTTTATTTTTTGTTTTTATTTTTATTTTATTATTATTAGTTTCAAATCATCTTTTATTAATTTAATTAGTTTTATTAGTTTATTATTAGTTCATCGGGTAATAATATAAACAACATAAACGTGAAACAACAAGTTCAACAAGTTCATCAAGTCCATCAGGTTCAATGACAATTTCGGGAGTTGATTGGACTCAAAAGTAGAAACAACAATATTGGTAGAAAATATCATAGTCAGTCATGCAAAATAGTTAATAGATGAAAATAGATTTAAAATAAATGAAATAAATTGAAAATAGGTGCATTGGAATGTTCTAGGTTCTTTCATAAAAAGAAAGATCATGTTTTCGAATAAATAAATAAAATAAGGTTAAGGACGTTTTTCAATTTAATCTTTTTCAACCTTTTTTTTTTTCAAACATATTGTTCCTTATTCTAATTACTAAATCTTAACAAACAATACACTCCCCTCGTGATTGTTCAATCATTTTCTATTTCTGATCAAAGAGATGATCAGATGTGACCAAAAAGTCAAAAAGTTGGACGGGGCATGACGTTATCCTGACGTCACATTCAATATTACTTTTAAGACTAGAAACTGCACTTTCTATTGATGATGCTGTTGAAAGAAACTCACTAATAAGAAATAGTAACCTTCACTTTTTTTAACTCCTTACAAAATATATAATAAATATAAACTACGAGAATTCGTTAAACAACTTTGCTTCAACAATGTTTATACCTCTTCTTTTCCCATTTGTTCCCATTTTTTCCCATTTTTTCCCATTTTTTTCCCCATTTTTTATAGTCAATAATAAAACGTGATATCGTCAAAGCTTGAATATGATGTTGAAATAAGGTGAGTGATTAATTTTATATTATAATCGTAACTTTCTATAATCACAGGATTGGGAGAAAAAAAAGGTGTGCTTATAGAGAACTGTGTCTATAAAGGTATCTTTCTATAAGCTCTTGCATGCTTATAGAGAATTGTGTCTATAAAGGTATCTTTCTATAAACTCTTGCATGCTTATAAAAATCTTGTGCTTATATTGAGGTATGTTTGATTCAATCTTTTCAATCTTAGGTTTGCTTATAGTGAGGTTTTTATATGATATGCTTTATAAAGAGTATGACTATAGAGAAGTACGACTGTAGTATTCATAAAAAAATAACATATTTTATATAACAATGTCAAAAGAATAAAGATCCATGCTGAATGTTTTTTTTTTTGTAATTCTATAAAATTTATAATGAAACATGTACAGTCGCGTCAGAAAGTAACCCGATTTTTTTAAAAATTCCGATATGTACAGTACATGATTTATTCTATTTCTATATTATGTACATCAAGTTTTTTTTTTTTATTACTTTTATAATTAACTAATACTTTGTTGGCCCTCCTTTTGCATCCAATGCTGTTTCAATTCTTCGTGGCATTCGAGTCCACGACCTTCCTAAGAATTGATCATCAAATTTTGATCAAAGCATTCTTGAACTCATCTATAGTTTCGGATAAAAAAATTTTTTTTTCTAGATATTATCTTTTAGATGTTTTCTATGATGTTAATGTCGGAAGAATTTGCTGGCCATTCTAACGTTTTAATTTTTTTGGTCTTAAACCCCATTTACGTTTTTTTTTTTTTTGCAGTATGGATTGGACAATTATCCTGTTGAAACACCAGTTTTGGATGTTTTTTTAACCATACAATCATTATATAACATTCACACAGTCATAAAAAATAAATGGGTGAGAAAAAAAAAAAGGAAAACGGGAGAAAAATATTGCATATAGTTACATCAGAAAATCGGGCGTTACTTTTCGACGCGACTGTACATGTTGTAAATTGCTCAAGTTACATATTTTCAATATTTTTATTATTGCATTTATTGTCTTTGGAATGAAATAATAATTCAAATAAATATTTTTGAATATTTTAGAAGTTGAATGATTCAATGGTAAATTGTTATGACGTTGCTTCGAATATATAATAAAAGATTTTGATCTCTATTTGATTCATTAATTTTGATGAAAAAACTTTAGTCTTTAGGTTTATAACTGTAGGAAATGTAATGTTCAAGTATTAAATAGATTTATTAAATTATACAAAACATATAACAACATTTATTTAGAATTTATTGTCCGTTGCGCACGTGATTTTACATGATTTTAAGTGTTTATTATTATTATTATTATTATTTTTTGATATTTGAGATTTGTTAGGCCACAATTTTTCAAACCTGGCCGGAATTACGATTAACTATAGTAGAAACGAAAAATTCTCTAAAAATGATTTTTTTTTTTTTGCTTCTAACTTTATAAAATACGATAAAAGTGATTATAAAGTATTATAAATGTGATAAAAGTTGATTAAAATATTAATATTAATTAAAATATTATTAATTAAAAATATCAATTAAAAAAAAAATATTAATTAAAATATTGTTAATTAGAAATATTAATTAAAATATTGTTAATTAAAAATATCAATTAAAAAAAAATATTAATTAAAATATTGTTAATTAGAAATATTAATTTAAAATATTGTTAATTAAAATATTAATTAATAATAGAATTTAGAAAGTTGAAAAATCCTCATCCAAATTATTAGTGAATTGCCACTCATCTTCGTCCAATTGTTGAATACACTGACGTAATTTGACCATGTTCTTCTCTAAGGGATCTTTTGCATAATAAAATAATATAAATAATATAAATAAGAAAAATAATCAAATAATCAAATAATTATTTAATATTTATAAATAGTTTAAATAATTTAAATAATTTAAATAATGAATAATAAAATTAATATTTATAAATAATAATTAAAGAATTTAAATGATTTAAAATAATAAATAATAAATCATAAATAATAAATAATAATAAAATTAATATTTATAAATAATAAATAATAAAATTAATAAATTAGATAATCAATAATAAATTTAATTTATATTTACCATTAATATTATTAACTCGATCTTGAATTCCTCTACTAAATAAAGATTCATGTTCTTCCAAAATATATTCATGAACATCTTCAGAATTATTGATTGCCCCTTCTTGTTCATCTTCAGTAATGTCAGGTGTTTCTGGATTATTATTTGGTTCTAACAAATAAATCCACTTCTTTTTAATATAAAATTATATCTCATATCTCATTAAAAAAAAAAAAAAAGTTGTTATCTATTTTATTAATTATTCAAGTTACATTCCCCATATAAAAAAGATGATATATTAAGAATATGATGATTCATAAAAAAAAATAAATAAATCTATGAAATGAAAGAAATAAATGATTCATGATGAAAGATGATGAAATATGATTATTTAGCACACCTGCTAAATTATTATTATGATGATGATTATGATTATTATTAATATTATAATTATTATCAGAATCTATGATATGATTCAAATTATTATTAGGAGTTATTTCAACTCTTCCAAGTATTGGAATTTCTGGTGCTTCTTGAGGGGAAGGACTAGTTGTACTGAAAGTAGGAGAAGTCGTCGAACTATCAAATATATTATGTTGCCTAAATCTATGAATATTATTATTATTGTTGTTGCTGTTGTTGTTGTTGTTGTTATCACTATCACTATCACTTTCGTAATTTGAAAATATAAAAGTTGGATTATTAGTTGGTGCAGGAGGTCGAATAACTGGTCTCCAAGATGTACCACGAAATAGAAATCGATGTCCGTGACTTGACATTATTATGAATAGATGGATATTTTTACAACGCGCAAAAAAAAAAAAAATAATAATAATAATTACAATATTTATAGTATTATATGCTTATCATAGATCGTGATACTTTTGATTTAATCAGCAAATGTCATTAGTGTGTATCAGTAGTGTAACAGCTTTTTTTTTTTTTTTACCAATGACACTTACACTGAACGTGATATTGATCGTGACACTGAAAACACCAAAAGAAGAGACACTTGATTCGTCACATTTCGTCAATGCTTACTTCACTTTCTATAAAGATACTTAAATGAAATAATATAATAATACAATATATAATATAATAATAATAATAATAATTTATACGTAAAAAGTTAAAATGTTCTTTATAAAATATACAATATACAATATTATATTATCATTATTTTTGATTATACTTCAATATTTCAAATATTTCGAATATTTCGAATATTTCGAATATTTCGAATATTTCAATATTTCAACATTTCAAATATATTTTTCAGAACATATAATATTTTAACCATAAGATTATTTTTAATCCAAGGAAAAAAAAAGTATTTTTTAATAATAATGAAACCATAAATATTAACATTTGCTATTTTTAAAAAAATTTTAAATTATATGAATTTATGAATTTCTTGTTTCTAATTTCCAACACGTGATAAATTTAATATAACACTGTCGACCAACATCCCACTGAAAATATAAAAATTTTTTTTTTTCTCTTGCGCATTGATGATTAATTATTTTATTGATTGACAAAAAAATACCCTTATATTTGGTACTATTATTATTATCTAATGTGAATTAGTCGTATTATGGAATCGCTTATCGTATCGTTAAGTGATTTGCCTGAAAGTCAATTTGCATTTATGAATTAATGGTATGGTCTATTATGGTCTATTATAGTAATGTATTTTAAATTGGGTAGGCACAACAATAAATTATAAATAAATTATTAATAGTATAAATAAATAAATAAATAAAAATAAATAAAAAATAAAAATATTTGAATGATTAGGGATTTTATTTGTTCATTTTTTTTAACAATAAAAAAAATTTTTCCTACGCAGGACCATGTTTAAAAGAAGTGCTCTTGTTTTTTTAGGGGGATTGTCAGGGTCTATTAAATAATCCCTATTTCTTCTAAATAGAGTCGAAGTAATAGTAATAATTATTAATCTTTTATCTTTTGACAGTCTCTCTTTCCACATTTAAAAAGAATATTTATAAAAGAATATTTATAAAAGAATATTTAAAAGAATATTTATAAAAGAATATTTAAAGAATATTTAAAGAATATTAAAAGAATATTTAAAGAATATTAAAAAGAATAGATAGAATATATATAGGGAGAAAATTTTCCCATAGCATTATAGCGTGTTAGTAGTTAGTGATGCATTTGGTGGTTAGTAATAGTAGTTAGTAAATTTATTAAATATTTATGGTAATTACACTGTACATCATCTCTTTGTTTTTTTTTTCTTTATTCTCTTTTCTCTTTATTCTCTTTTCTAATTTTTTTCACTTCACTTTTCTTATCAAATTATCAAATATATCAAATTATCAAATTTATCAAATTATTAGATTTACGATATCAAATTTATTATTAAATTATCAAATTATCAGATTTACCAAGAATCACTTTCAACGATCAACGATCAACCATCAACTTCGGGGTGATTATAAGAAATGTGTTTTGAAGATGAAAGATTAAAATAGGTGACGTCTAGAACGTTTTTGATCTATGGAGAATGGAAGGAGAATTATAAGGAGGTGATACATATGATTACTATTACTATTACCAAATTATTATTATTACATATAAAAAAAATTTAATCAACCCAAACAATATTAAAACAATGTATTCTTTTTTCAAACACAGACTACCTAAATTCATCTATTTTATTCATGTATTTAATAGTATTTAATACTATTAATATGTTTATTGATATTTTTAATATTTTATTATTTTTATAATTTTATATATTTAAAATTTTTTTATTGCATAACTCTGTTCTTATTTAATCCTGAGTAATTTTTAGTTTTTTTTTTTTTTTTTTTAATTATTTTTTTATTTTATTTATTTTATTTTATTTTATTATTTTTCATTACTTTATTTATATTGTGTAACGCTTTATTTCATGGTGATTTTATGACGTAAACAGATTTCTGGCTATTAGAGTTTCTGTGTGCCCTTTTGATCAATTTTTTTTTCTAATCCTGACCCCCCCTCAAACCAACCTTTCTGAAAATATTCTACTCTTCTGTAACTTGCGAGTCTTTACCTACCTTGTGCTTTAATCTAATCTCGCGTAAGTACTTGTCCTCCATTCCAAATTTACCCCCTGCACATCTCGATTTTCTTTATTATTTCGTTTCTGTTTTTACCATTCGTAATATATATATATGGACCAAAGCTCTCTTTTGGGATTTCTGTTTCGCGCTACTTCCTCAAAAATAACTCCTTCCTATATTAAAAAATAATTAAAAATCTTGAAAGAATTAAAATTTATTTATTTTTTTTTTCTTTTAATTTTTATCCACTTGTAAAAATACATAAACTAAATATAAAACCACTCACTCTAACTCGCTTTACTTTCTTTTAATATAAATATCATTAAAAAAATTTCTAAAAAAAAAAAAAACTCTTCCATCAAACAAACAGGGCACAAGTGAAATAGAGTAGAGAAAAAAAAAAAGAAAAAGAAGTCGTAAAGAGAAAATAAAAAGTTGATATATATATATATTATACGAGTCTCGTTAATCTATTATTGTAATAGATAGAACATCGTCATGTCCAACATATACAGTCATAGGCAGATTGCTCCTGGTGGAGCTCCTAGTTCGAACCGTATCAATGAACTCTTGGATACAATAAAGGCGGAATTTGATAATCTTCAACAAGATGCTATAACTTATAAAATGCAACGTGAAGAATTCGAACATAAAGGTATTTTTCCGGCGTTTTATTTTATTTTTCTTCTTGATATATATTTTTTATTTATATTTTTTTTTGTCATTTTCATACATATCCGATATTTTCTTGTGACAATAATTATATTATAATAATAATAATAATCCCTTTTTTCGGATTGTTGAGAATTTGATGAGACCCCGTCCTGTTTGTAGTTTGTAGTTTGTAGTTTGTAGTTTTGTGGATAGTGAAACCTTAAAATTGACACCCTTGCTGCGCAATTTAAATTTATTTTTTAATTAATTAATTATTTATTTATAATTTACTTTGTCGTACAATATATATATTTATGTACATGATGCATTATAATAATTATATGTATATATATATATATATATATTTTTACACGCGTCACGAATGATAACAAAGACCAAGACTTTATTAATTATTTATTTTGATTATATTAAATAGTTCAACAGCAAACAGAGGAAGTTAACCTAATTCGTCAAGGTTTATATGATTTACAAGCAACGCAGAAAAGTATAAAACAACAGTACGTGTCTTGAGAAAATTTCTTCTTCCTCAATGAAATAAATATATTTACACACAACACACCTATCTAAATTTCGTTGATTTTCGTTAGATATGATGCAGATGTACGTAATCTTCAACGTGAAATAGAACAATCAAGATTACATTCTCATCCATCTTCTAGTGCACACCCTCAACCTCCTCCACCATCACATCCACAACCACCTCCACCAACTATTGGTCAAGGACAAAATAATCTTTTTGGTACAATCATGAGTGGTAATGGTGGTCCAACAGCTTTGGTAGCTCCAGCTCAAATGTCTTTGGATCCTTCACAACAACCTCCAACAAATCAGCCTGGTCATCCAGTAGCTTATACAGGTCCCGGTGGTCCACCTCAAAGTGTTCCTCAAACAGGTGGAGGTGGTAGTTCTGCACAATCTACATATCTTAATGGTGGTGGTGGCGGTGGTGGTCCACCAGGTCAATTATCACAAACTCAACATACACAAAAACGACAACGTTTAGATGATGTTCCACCCGGTCCTCCGCAAGGTGGGCCTTTAGGAATTCCGGGTAACGCTCAACAAACTCCTGCCGGTATGTACGGATCTAATGGAATTCAACAACCCCAAAATAATCAAGCCCCACCTCCTTTAGGTCAAGGATACAATATGGTACAAAATAATAAACCTGGCGGTAAAATGCCAAAGGTAAGTAAAATAATAATGTTATATTTATATTTATGTATATATATATATATATTATATATATTATGTATATGTATACATTTATATAAAAATATTATTCGGTAGAAAATTATAATGTTGGCTATTATTATTATTGCCATCATTATTATTATTATTTATTTTATTTATTATGTGCCATCAAAAGGAAAAAAAATGAATCTCAAATATGGCCATAATTGAATTTTTACCCTTAAAGGGGTCTGAATATTTTATAATCATACACAAAAATATTATGGCTTAACTCCAGCCCGGCAATTTGATATCACAGATCCCTCAAGGTATTGGAGGCCCTGATGGACCACAAAGTTCGGGAGTTCCTACAAATGGGAATGCTCCAGCCGGTCCACCAGCCAATAAACGGAAAAACAATCCCAATATGAATACCCAATTACAATCCGGTTCTCGTCCTCCTATAAAGCAAAGTTCTATTACTGGTGCGGCAGGTGGCGGTTTAGGTGATATGGATCCAGAAACTGTACCCGCCCAACTTAAAAAAGAAGGATCTGATTGGTTCGCAATGTGAGTTCTAAAAAAAAAAAAATGGTTTACTTTTCTTTGAAAGTAGAAAGAGGATTGCTCGAGAGAATGTGTGTAGATATTTATTAAAATTTAATTTAATTTAATAAATTATAGCTTTAATCCAAAAGTAAATCGAGCTCTTGACGTAGACCTTTTACACACATTGGATCACTCCAGGTAAAATCTTCTACTTTAGATTATCTGTTACCAAATAATAAATCGTCATAATAATTAAAATTTTGTTTATATGAATTTTTTTTTTTAGTGTCGTATGTTGTGTTAAATTCAGTTCGGACGGAAAATACCTTGCAACTGGTTGTAATCGAAGCGCACAAATTTATGATGTTACAACTGGTCATAAATTAGCGTAATGTATTTCAATCTATTTTAATCTAATTTTTTAATAATTGTACATACTGTGTCATTTATTATTATGAAATAATAACTATATATATATATATATATATTTATTTTTTTTTGATGATTTTAGCGTTTTGGATGATAATAATGTTGATAAAACTGGTGACTTGTACATTCGAAGTGTTTGTTTCAGTCCAGATGGAAAATATTTGGCAACAGGTGCCGAGGACAAACAGATTAGGGTAATCCCACTCCCCTTTTTTTATTTTAGCTTTTATGTTGAAATTAATAATAATAATAATATTATTATTATTTAGATTTGGGATATCGCACAAACGGCAATTCGAAAATATTACCAAGGTCATGAACAAGATATTTATTCACTTGATTTTTCACGTGATGGTCGTTTGATTGTATCCGGTTCTGGTGATAAAACTGCTAGAGTTTGGGATATGATAACCGGGGATCCGGTATTTAAACTTACAATTGATGAACCCAGTCAAAAGGATGCAGGTGTTACAAGCGTGGCCATTAGTCCCGATAGTCTTTACGTTGCAGCCGGTTCATTAGATAAAATAGTACGCGTCTGGGACGCTCGAACAGGTTATCTTCTTGAACGTTTGGAAGGTCATAAAGATAGTGTATATTCAGTAGCTTTTGCACCTGATGGAAAAACATTGGTTTCAGGTAGTCTTGATAAAACTTTGAAATTATGGGATATGAGTCATCCGGGAAGAACTACTAGTGGTTCTGGACCTAATGCAAAAAATTCAGCGAAATCAACGTTTAATGGACATAAGGTAAAAAAAAAAAAATATGATTATTTTTATTTTATATATATATAAATACATTTTTTAAAAAATATCTGATTTATTTTATTTTAATTTGAATAATTTAATTTAATTTATTTATTTATTATAGGATTTCGTCTTATCAGTAGCAGTCTCACCGGATGGTCGTTGGGTAGTTTCAGGATCAAAAGATCGCGGTGTACAGTTTTGGGATCCAGTTACTGCACAAACACAATTCATGCTACAAGGACACAAAAATTCAGGTTATTATTTTTATAATTATCAATATTGTTTATATTTTCTAATTCTAATAATAATATTATTATTATTATTATTATTATTATATATATTATTATTATTTTACAGTAATTTCTGTAGCCTTAAGTCCGGCGTTAAGTGGACCAGTTGGAAAACTTTTCGCTACAGGTTCTGGTGATTGTAGAGCAAGAGTATGGCGGTACTTCGATGATAATTATCAATCATAAAAAAGAAACCGAATATTATTGTTTTAATATGCTTTTAATTAAAATACATCAAGTTCCAACAAGTTCTAAAAATACACCAATATTTCCACTAATGTTTTCATCTTCATATTATCTTATTCCTAAAAAAAAAAAAAAAAAAAAAAAAAAAAAAAAAGTGAAATGACAAAAATGTTAAGAGATATATTGAATTTTTTAAATCATTGTGCATGTTTTGGAAAATTTAATATATTTTTTTTAACATTTTTGTAAAGTTGAATTACAAAAACGACAAAAGAAACCTCATAATGAATTATATTGGAAATAGAACCCAAATAATGCTCTTGTGAGATTACAAGGCGAAACATATTAAAAGTTAAAAAAAAAAAGTATAATGTTATAATTTTACATCATCTGTTACTAGAAATTTTACACTTTGGTCTTTAATATACCTGATGGCGGGTAACAACTATAATTTTTTCTTTAAATATTGAATTTTTTTTTTCTATCGTTTTATTTTTTTTTTCTTTACGGCATGGAATTAGTTTTTTTTTCATCAATTTTTTTATTTGCTTTGTATTGATTTTTTTTTCGCCTATTTTTTTCTGCGGTACGGAAAAATAATTAAAATATATCATTAAGATCTGGATGGGTACAACTATTATTATAATTTATAGTACACACAATAACAATAACCGGAAGTAGTTAATCTATTATGTTTTTTCATTCCTTTCTTTCTTTCTTTATTTCTTTATTTCTTTCTTTGGTTTGTGGCATATTTTTTCAAAAAAATTTTCCATCCTTTGTACAAATGAACTTTATTTTTTTTTAAAAAAAAAAATGCATCCAATGATTTCTTGGAAATAATATCAAGTGTTATTAAGTGTTATAAATTGTTACTAACTATTGTTATTATAAATTATCTACTTGAATCAAAATTCTTACATAACATTGAAAACATTGAAATCATATGATCAATCTTGGAAAAGAAATCGAAAGTTTAAACCTTAATTTTTAAAATTTATTATTAAATAATTTACAAATTTTAATAAGATTATTATTGAGTGCATAAAGATGCAAAAATTCAACAAAAAAAAATTTTTTTAATTTTTAAATAATTTTATATATATATATATAAATACGTTGTTTAAATAATAATGTACCTATAGATATTGAAATCATGCTGTTATTACACGAAAATAGTGGCTGAGAGTAAAATATAATAATAATAAAAATATCCAGACCAAAAAAAAAACAAAAATGAAAGAAAGAAAGAATAGTTTGAATATTTTTAATATTTTTTGAAAATTTTGAAAAAGCACTACTATACGATAAAAGAAAATATAACTAGCGAAATGCAAAAAAAAAAAAAAATCAATGCAACAATCCTATACAAAATCAAAAAAAAAAAGAAAGAAAAGAAATTACATCAAAAAAAAAAAATCCCAGATTGAAACAAATCAAATAAAAAAAAAAAAAACTAATAATAGGAAAATAAAAGATTGAATTTTTTTTCACATTTATGTGAATAATAATAATAAGATTATATAAAAGATTATAATAAAGGTTATAATAATGAATTCCTCAAGATGTGCATAATTTAAAAAAAATTTTACACAAACAATAAGGTCACCCAAATTAAATGTCTGGAAATTACTAAATTTAAAAAATGCGTTACGCTTTCCATCATAACACATCTTCACCTTCTTTACGACCAGTTCCAAATCGATCAACTCCTTTTCCTTTCACTTTTGCATCTTCTGTCTTTCCAGATACAGAAGGTACATCAATATAACGCATTCCTAAGAACAATGCATCATCATCATTATCACTTGTACTTGATGAAGAAGAACCTGATTCTTGAAAGTGTGTTGGATTATTTGGAGTTAAATTGGATGATGATGGACTCACAGAGCTTTCATCTTCCTCGGTAATTTCCCCTAACCTCGGTGATTCACCTTGTTCTCTAAGTAATTGATGTTGATTTGCAGGTGATGATGGTCCACTATCTATATCATCAAAAAAACTCGTTCCTGAAATTGGTGGACTTGATGATGGTAACGTTTTACTAAGCATTATATTTGGATCATTTACATCATCTGAGGAATTTGACATTTTTCTACTTCGAGGTATTGGCATGGCAAAAGAATATGCTGTAATCATTGGATTTGAAGGTGAACGATTCATTGGATTCATTGAATTAATTGAATTAATTGAATTAATTAAATTATTAGGTCGTTCATCAATTTCTTGATTCATATTTTGAATTATTTCTACTTGTTGTGATTTAGAATAACTTGCTACTGCTGCTGCTGCTGCTGCTGTTGAACTATTATTATTTAATAATGATGTTTGTGAACCTGATACTTTAACTTCTTTTCCAGGTAAATTCTCTGTGTTTTGTTCATTTTTAGAATTATTCGTAGTTCCTCCAATTCCTCCAACAACGTTTTTTTCTACTTCCTCATGTTCGGCCAATATTTGTTCCCAATCAACTTGATTCTCAATAGGTGCATCAAGGTTAGCAAAACTTCGACAAAGAGGACATAAAAATCCAGGATGATGACTAATTAAAAGAGGTCTTATACACTTATAATGAAAGACGTGTGAACAAGGAGCAAGGAATAATGCTTGAAAAGGTCCAATCCCGGATAAACAAATACAACAATCTGATGTTGGATGTTTAAAGGCTTCTGGTCCAGTTAATTGTTTGAACTGTTTTAATGCATTAATACTAATAAATTATATATATATATATATATATATATATATATATTTATATTAATATATTAATTATGCTTATTTATTTATTTATTTATATCTATTTATTTATATATTAATAACAACAAAAATCTGAATAATAAAAATATTTTTATATTCTCCTTCTAAATAATGAATAAAAAAAAAATAAAATTATTTATTTTACCTAAAAGGGTTAATCTGTCTTTGCCATGATCTATTTAATTCTATACGCATTTTCACACATCGATATATTTCTATTTATGAACAATATTTAATAAATAATTTTATCGTAAAAAAAAAAAAAAAACTTTAAGATATATATATAATACAGCCTAAAGTTGAAAGCTTTTATATTAATTCTCTCTCTCACCTTCTGTTCCACCTTGATAATCAACACCAAGTTGAACAACATCACCATCTTTTAATTGAAATGCTTTACTTTCAGCACTTGGTGCAGATAATCGTACATGGTTTAAAAAGGTTCCAGAAGAAGATTTGGTATCCCTGATAAAAAACTTAATGAGAGAATCACATAAATAAAAATAAAAAAATTTTTTTATTATTTTTTTTTAAAAAAAAAAAAAAAAATCGAAAAATAGAAGACCAAAATTTTTATGTATTAAATTTATGATAAAATTGGAAAACGAACTGAATATATGGTGGTGTTTACATACTTTGTTACCTTCAGTCCAAATTTCAGCGTGACCTCTGGAAACAACTTTACTCTTAAATGTGACTCTATTTGGAATAAATGCTTTATCTGTAAAACGACCAATCTTTATAACCACACTTTCACCAACTTCTCGTTCGATGATGTCAAAATGCAAAGAACGAGGACCTTCTATATGTGGTACTATACGAATAGCAGGGGTAGGATCTGGTTGCGTAGTCATAATCAATTCTAATATAAAAGTTGATGAAATATTTAACTATGAAATAAGTAAAATAGATTTTTTTTTTTTTTTCTTAATGAAACGGCTAGTTTTTTCTTCGAAGTCAACAAAAAATTCAAAACTTCAGCCCAAAAAAACATTTGGGTGTACAAAAATAAATGAATGAATGTCACAAATTGTGTACAATAGAGATTGCTAACATTTTCGCACACACGTGATATCAATATACACAAAATTAAATTTAGAATCGGCATGAGTAACAAAAAGTAACTATTTTAATAAATCCTCGATCATGTGGGAATTCCTTATTACCTAACAAAGAAAGGAGGAGAGTTACATGTTCCCATATAGGAAATGAGTTGAAACAGAATCGCATCTAGTGACACCTAATCTACATATTAAAAAAGTAAAAATAGCATTTTTTATAAATTACAATATTAGAGTTTTAGGAGTTTTAAGAATTTAGAAAGAAAGAAAGAATTGAAGGAATTAAAAATTTAAGATTAAAATTAAAGAGAAATTTTCATAATTTGAATTTAATTAATTGAAAAGATAAAGTTAATTTTCAATCGAACACTTATAAAACTTATGGATTACAAAAAATTTAATTGTAAACTTGCAGGTTAATTGCAGACTTGCACTTGCTTGCATACACCTCTATATATATTATTTATTAAAAATTACATAATATTTATAAAATTTTAATATATTGTAGACTTGATAAATATTAAATATTATACTCTACATTATTCTATTCTAAAGTTGCAATTAATTTTTATTACTTTTAAATATTATTTAGGAATAATAATCTTCTATAACAAATATGAAAATTACAAAAAAAAAAAAAAATTTTTTTTATGTAAATTAATTAATTATATAAACTAAAAATTAATTCATTCATCTTCACTAATTATCTATATTAAAACTCAAGGTCAAAAATTTGTTATATAAATATCATTTAAAAATACATAAATAATATAAATAATATAAATAATTAAAATCTTTTTCAATTAAAAAAGTTATAAAACTTATTATTATACTCCCAATTCTTCTCCAATTTTTCTTAAACATTCTTTCAATAAACCAACTATATTTTCATCTGGAAGAGAGATCGCCTCACATATAACTGGATATAAATAGAATAAATGTGCACTTTTTCCTGATAAAATCTGTTTCGTGAGTGGATCTAAATTAAAATATTGATGATATAAAATACCTTGATAAAATCGCACGCGAAAGAGAAAGAGAAAGAGAAAGAGAGACTACATAAAAAACTTACTTGTTATATTTTCATCAACTCTTAATATATTTAATCGAAATCGTAATTTAATCGATTGTTGTAAAACTAATAAGATTTCATCGTTCCGTACCCTGGAAGAAATGCTAATGTTTGTAAATCATGTGATATTAACGAAATGCGTTCTTCATAAATGATTATAATTCTAATAACGTCACCGAAACCGACCTTGGAAACGGATACTTTCCTAATAAAGATTGATCCGCTGTATAATTCCTGATCACGGACGCACATCTCTCCAAAAATATTGGTGCGGCCACTGTGGCTATACGTTGTCGGATTTCAACTTCGTCTAAAGGAATTTTTTGGTCAAGATCTACATTTACATTTACATATTTCTTCAAAAATAAAATAAAACATAATCTAATATAATACTTATAAAAGACTTATAATATTAAAAATGTTATACATACCACTTGGTCCATCCGAACATAAGTCAAATAAACATTGCAAACATGCATATGCAAATCGTTCTCGGGCTACGGGAGTAATTTCGGCGGTAATTCCTTCGACTTTTTCCGAAACTTTATTAAGTTCGTACTCATCATCGTAATGATGATGATTATTATTAACATCCTCATCCTTCTCATCAACATCATCATCATCATCAACATTGGAAGACGACTCATTTACGAATCCATTTACAATTTCCCTTCTTTTCACTCCCGTGGAATATAATTGTGATCCTTCTTGTATCGTTTCAACAATTTTTTTTATTAACGTTTGTGGAACTCTAGGACGACCCATATGAATCATTACATTAGACTGTAGACTAAAAAGAAATCTCATATCATAGGCTTCGTCGGCATCTTGTTGTTCTGTTTTAAGGATAGATGGTGGATGACTAAATAAATAAATAAATTATTAATTATATATACTTATTTATTAATCATAAATAAATATATTATTTTATTTATTTATTTATCAGTCAATTGAAAATTAAATTAAATATCAAAAATACCAGTTAGATATCAATGTTCCATGTATAACCTCAGTTAATTGCTTCCAAACATTTATAAAACATTCTTCGGAAATTTCTTTAAAAAAAAAAAAAAGGAAAGAAAAGAATAAGTTAATATTAATAAGTTTAGAAGATGAAACAAACGCATAAAATCAAAATAAATTGAACTTACCATCTCCAAAATTCTCAAATGCAATTAACCCATCCTTTACAATTTCCAAAAATGCACTCGTGGCAATTTTCCAAAGTTCAATATCTTCAACATGTTTTCCAGATGGTGGACAATTATATTTTAATTTCATTGGAATACCATAAGCCTTATAAAAAATCAAATAATAATTAAAACTATTGCAATGAATAAGTATAAAATAAATAATTCAAATAAAAAAAATAATAAAAATAATAATAAGATGAAATCAAAATATAAATACCCATATAATTCTTTCAAAAACCCCTTCAGAATAAATTCCCTTATCATTCACGAATTTTTTGAATAAATCTTGAACTTTTCGCATAACAGTCTTTGAAAAAACAATAAAAGTTACATTCTCATAGGATTTTTTAGATGTAGATGTTGAAACTAAGGTCTCTGATTTTTTGGATTTCGTATTATTGGATGATGATCTCTGCTTCGTAACAATCACAGAATTAGTGTTTCCTTGTTTTTTCATTTTCAAATTTGAAATAATTTCATGTTTGGGTTTTATAACGAATGCCAAAGTAATATATTTTGCAAGATCTCTTAATACTGTAGCTGGTGCCTCCGGTACACTCAAGTCTATATTACCCACTACATCTAAAATTGCCTCTTGTAAAGGGGTGAGGTAATCATAATCAGGTCTATAAGAAGGACTATTAGAATAAGTTAAAATACCATAAACAACTTTCATCAATTTTTTTATTTCTTTAATTGAAAAATCGGAACGTATGGTTTTATAAAGATCCCCGAATGCAATAATGTAAGCCGTGAGAGTTTCTTGATTAAACTGTGAAGAGACCAGTTTCTTATTATGGGAAGTTAAAGAAACGGGAACATTATCTATTACATCATCATCATCATTATTATCATCATTATTATTATCATTATCATCATCATCATTATTATTATTATTATTATTATTATTATTATTATTATTATTATTATTATTATTATTATTATTGTTATTATTATTATTATTATTATTATTATTATTATTATTATTATTTCGTTTATTATTGATTGGGGTGATAATGCCTAAACCTATTCTCTCCCAAGTAATCCAGGCATTTTTAAATAAAAGTGAAATGCTCTTTTTAGGTAAATTAGAATGAATTTCATCTTCGGGAAATTGAATTATCGTGTTTAAAGATTTGATGGCAGCAAAAGCAACTTCAAGACTTGAATATAAACATGATTCTTGTAAATGTAACAAAAATAATTCCCAAGCTTGTTTAAAATCTTCTAAATTAATCAAGAATGGTAAAAAGTTTTTGATTATTCCAGACATTCCCGTTAATACTAATACTTTGGTTTCGTCCCATTGTTTATCAACTGTATTTCGTGAATGATGAACCATGATCTTTTCAGGGTTTGCGGTTTGTTGTTGTTGTTGTTGCATTGTTTTTACAACTTTTTCGGATGTTTGTTTAATAGAATCCAATAATGGAAATAATACTTTCCAAATACAGGTATGCCAAGTTTGTGATTCTAAAACGGCGCCATTCATGTCTATAGTACGAAACAAAGTTTGATTCGCACCGTTACGTACTTGTGGTCTAACATCAGAACAAATCTTTGAAAGTTGTAACAATATCAACATCCATAAAGCATTCATGGTTCGTGGTGACAGTTCACCTTGAATATCACGTTCTATCTCTTGTTCAATTATCATGTCTTTTATAATCTCCGACTTCTCATAATTCGTTCCAAAATTCTTTTCAAGTTCGGACCTTTTTGTCTGAATATGATCGGAAACATTCCATAATAGTCCAAGTGCTGTTAAACTTATATTAAGATCATCAACTTGCAAACCAAATGCACCCAATGTATTTATACACTGTTTCAAACATTCGGGGGATAATAATGATAAAAAATCTGTGCAAATGAGTTGTAATGATGGAAATGCTACACGAACTAAACCCGAGCTTTTATTATTATTATTAGAGACGCCAAATGACGATGCATCAAACATATTATCAATAATACCCGCAGAATCACCTTCTTCTTTATTTTCACTAGGACTATTTACCACACATACACTTTTGATCATATCAAAAATCATTCCCCACCCATAAACAAAAGAATGTCCAGATGTTTGTAATAATTTATTTAAAGTTTCAAGCCCTCTTTTCTGAACATCCACATAGAACCCTTTACTCAAATTTTGTGCAACCACATTGTGATTATTAATTAATTGATTTAGTGAAACTAACAGTTGCATTTGAATACGTTCATCGCCCTCCATTTGTATTGAACTAGCATAACTCATGGATGAAATTATAATATCATCTAACGTTTTACAAGCCTGCTTACGAATTTGTTGAGGGGTCGATACATAATTCGCAGTTGTTATTAAATGTGAAACAATTAAATCCCAGATGAGAGATGGTTCCCGTGCAATCATATTATTAAGATTTGATAGTGCAACGGAATGTAATTTTTCAATGGCAAAAGATTTCTCGTCGGATTTCTAGATGATTACGAAAAATGAATTTGACACAAAACAACAGAAAATTTCAACATACATATATAACTAATAATGAAATAAAATTCTAAACTGTTCTTACATTCCCTCGCAGGTTACTCGATGGTATAGATTTAGGTGCCTTACCCTCCATTGATACTGTTTCCTGGGATATAACTGGATTGTCTTCATCCCAAGGTAATCCCCAAGTATAAGAATTAAGCTTGCATAAAGATCGTGTGAAAAATTTTAAAGCCTCATCGTCAAGATATTTACAATTATCAAACAATTTTTTAATTTGGTTAAACAGAACACTTAAATGATTTTCAATAGCTGTTTGTTGAGAACTTAAATAAGTTGAAGATGATCCAGCTTGGTTAGATGACCCAACAGAGGTCGATTGTGTAGCTCCCAATGAAAATCTCTTATTAATATTAGGAGGAGTGGTTGAAGTTTGAAGAGAAGAATTACTACTACCAGCGGTAATCGGTGAAGATAAAGAAGTTACTGATACTGATGCTGCATTTTGTGAACCAATTATACGAGTACCTCTCGTCCCACTCTTAGCGTGTTTTGGAAAGAGGATAAGATCTGCGAATTGTAATGTTTCCAGTATTAAATACCATGATTCTCCTAATACTCCACCAAGATACTGTGCCACATTTAATAAAATTTTTAAACAGGATAAATTTCTGTCTGACAGTGTATTTAATGGTGAACCATCATTTGTGGCACCACTTGTCCCACTACTTGTATGAACTGCTTTACTTTCTGCTGATAACGCTGTAACAACGCTAGGAGGGATAGCTCCTTTACTTAAGCATGTCAAAAAGGCATCACGCGGTGTTGATAATTGAAGCACACCGCACACAATTGTGAAATTTTGAAAAGAACGTAAGACTCCTGAAAATAATTCTTCATCAAGATTTGCTGTAAGGAAAAATGATAAAGCAGCAAGTAATCCTGGCCATGCAGTATTGGCCATCTCGGTGACCAATAAGATTTCTTTATGTGATGGATGATCTTCAAGCTGTTTCAATATAGAATAACCAAAAATTGTGGGTTGTTGCGTCTGTGAAGATTCAGCTGAAAATGTCGATGTAAGCGTTTTACGTTCCTGTGATTTCTTTTCGGATTGTTTCTGTATTACTCCGGAAAATATAGACAAAATAAAGTTATGCAGACTGTCTGCTATTAAACTAAGACATATAAGCGCAAGATAATAAAGATATGTTTCGGGTATGGGAGGAGGATCTACTTTATCCAATTGATCAATACTTAAATTTAATAGCAAAAAATATTTAATATTTATTAAATATCTATTATTTTAATTAAATAAATAACACGAGAAGAAAAAGAAAAGGGATGTAAGTCCTTACCATTCTACCTTCATTATTGAATTTGAAATGTTCAATCCTGCAGAATCAACCTGTCCGGAACCCCCTACCACGACTCCTGTAATTCCGGATAAATCCATACTCTCTCTACCTTGGTGTAAATGTCCAACTAACGAATGACTCCCAACGCCTAATGCTTGCGGCTTCTCAGTCGCTAATTTCTTAAAAGCATTCACCATATCTTGAAATATATGCGTAGATTGACCTTGTTTATCGTACCAATGATAAATAGAACGTAATAAACTAGTATCTGCACAAATACCACGAAATATTTCCATCGAAATGACACGCTGCCATAAAGGAGTATCAGGCTCTAAATTCTTGATAAACATTGTAAGAAATATTTCACATTCCATAACCTATTTTTTTTTTTGTGTGTATTAGAAAAATAGAAAGAGTAATAATAACTCTTTAGAGCACAATAATATTCAATTACTCTGTCTCACCAAAAACCATACATAACCCCCCCCCAAAAAAAACGTGTCTAAGAAAATATACCAGAATATCAGTGAATTGCCTAAATAAGATATAAACTACGCGCATCAAACGCATGGTAGTTGGAAAATCAGATTTCTCAGAGAAGTTTTTAATAATAAGAGGACAAACTCGTTCTCTCAATAATAACGAAAATTCTGAATGCTATTTCAAGGAAGGATAAAAAATTTTTATATTAATAAAATAAAATTTATAAAATTGAACAAATAAATATTAATATATATATATATATATGTGACAAAAAATGAATTATATTTCAATAAAATGAAATTATATACCATTTTAAATAATTTTGAATGATTAGTTAATACCGATTCTATCAACTCCAAACCAAACGTTCTTGATAAACCATGCAATCTAAGATAAACTGGAGGTTCCGCGTTTGTCAACAAACATAAATCTTGAAAAAGAAAATATGCATCTCTCGCACAAGGGCGGAGTGGTACAACACCCTCCCCAATAATTGATACCACTGTCGAAGTTGGTTTTATTGATCCTTCGAAGTTAATAAATATGTTAATAAATATTTAATTATAAATATTTTGAAGTCATCAATTCTTCCGAAAAATGTTTAAAATTCCAATAATAAAAACCGTTTTTCTCATTGATTTCATCCTCTTCTTGAACTTTTTCAAAAATATTGATCACCAACTGTCGTAAAGTAGCGGCGGCTGTATTATTTACCACTACAACTTTAGAATCTTGAATGCGAAAACAAATTAACAAAGCCTATAATGAATTATTAATTAAAAAATGAAGTTAATTTAATTTAATGAAATTTTTTTTTTTTTTTTAAAAAAAAAAAAGTATTTCGTATTCTTCATTTATCACCTCCGCTAAAAGATCACCATGTAACGCTTGATAATTGCTTAATAACGGCAGTACGGTTTGTAGTATTTTGAGTTGTATTTCAACTCCTTGTGACATAATATCATTAAGAGTTTTAAGAATTGTTTTTACGGAAGACTAAAGACAAATTATATTTGATATATTCAAGAATGAGTATACAATGTGATTAAAATAGAAACCATAAAAATAACCTTTTTTGCTCACCTCGGGAATTGCATGATGTGATATTAATTTGTGAAGACAACCAATGGAAATAGTAATTAATTTGACATGCTTGGAATCACAAGCAAGAAGAAATGGACGTAGGAACTCGGTATTTTTTGCAAGTTCTATACAAAAGTTTATAAAAGTTAATCCATGATTGTATATGTAAAATTATGTTTTAAAATATCCACGAAAATAAGAATAATGCGAGACCTTGTGATATATCCTTTCCAGGTCTTTCTTTTAATGTACGTAAAACTATTATCGATCTTTCCGCTGCCTTTAAGGTGAATTATAAAAGAAATTATTTGCATGAATCTTGAAGTTTTGCCTAAACTATTTGCATTAGGTCGATCTATGAATATATAAGAGATCGCCCTCCGATACCTCTTTGATTTCAGGATGTTTACGTCGGGCTTCATTTGAAAGCTGTAAAAGCTCTGCGTTTAAGGATGTAGTAAGCCCGCTCATTTTTTTTTCTCAATAAATTACGATGCTTTGGACAACAAATTTTAATTATCATTTGATCTCGTGATTTGTAACACGAATTTAATAATTATTTAATTAATGAGGCATCATACAATGTTTAAAATTACAATTTACGAGGTGTGAAACACGCTTCATAGATACAATAAAATGGATAGATAGCATAGCAAACAAAATAATACAGAGTAGTGGAAAGGAACTCTCATTTTATGGATTAGGGCTCGAGAAATTCCTCCCTTTAAACGTCCGCTACTCAATATTTTTTATTAAATTCATCTTTTAGTTTTATCATGATCAATGAAAAAATTAATAAAGATTCCTTGTATTCAATAAGCTATCTAATTAAAAATCGGACAAATTGATCAGGAGAACATATTGAATCACATTATCCCTAATCCATTCAGTATGCGTCAAATGCCATCCTAAATATTTTGTGTTTCCTGATGTAACATACTTCTGCAAACGAAATTCATTAAACGTATACAAAATATAAATGGATCGGTAGACCTTTTACCTGTGTTTCTGCAGTTGTCATTTGATACAAATGATGAATTCCATTACGTTGAGGCGCAATAGCACCAACAGATTCAAAATTTGTATCTTTGGGGATGTTATAATACCAGGAGCTATTTCATCAATATTACGAAACTGTTTGTGTGCCACATTTTTAAGATGAAGTTCTTCGGGCTGTTTAACACCATCTTTGATTAAGCGTCGCACAGCAAAATCATCACCTTTTCGCAAGATATCATGTACCATCATTTCAAAGAATTTGCCAGCTAATGTGTTCAAATTACATTAACAATCGTGTCTTTTGTGTTATTTTTATAGTGCCTGTACAAAGCCTCACATATTTCTGTTGAAGCGGGAACATATTTTTTATTTGTAAAATCAGAATTAGGAATAATATGTATGGCTTTTCCAGAATAATTGTCAATTAAGTCTCCCCCATCATTTTTAAGATAAGCATAAGCATCACATTGAGAGACTACATCATCAACATTCGGTTCGTAATTATATTCATTAAAAACTCGTCGTGGTATACATCCCCACCGCACAATTAACTCCTTGACTCGAGCCTCAGGTATTTATACTTATACTGTTCATTCCATTTCCAAACATCCCAAATTTCTTCCTCTGTCCAAATAGGTGCATAATATTTTCTAGGACGTTTCTTTGTAAAATCATGCCATCAAGCATTTTTTGGTGTTGTAGTTAGAAATGTGAATTTCGTTTTCAATGGAGAAGGAACTACGGAATCGACAATATAAAAGCTACCTGGTGGGTATTCCACTTTGAAACTAGAAATTTTGAATACACTCACGTTTGATTTGATATGAATAACAAGGGAATTTTCTTGGAATGGTTGTTCATATATGATATCTGATGGGAAATGTCGACGAGTTATATAAAAAGCTAAATATATTAAAAAGTGCGTTTTCCAATACCAGGCGAGTACACCCTTTTGCGTCCTTTTCATTACGATCAATTTGCAAGTATGATCTCTTTATTAATATATCCTGTGTTGATATTCCAAAGACTATTCCATCTGGTGATTTACGGAAACGTAGAAATTTCGCAAAATTCATTGTAATCTTTTTTGATTCCACTATCACGAGTTCACCATTGTTGAGTATTAGCTCATCTTGCGCATTTAACATTACATGATTACTCAGAATAATTTCTTTCCCTTTAACACTCATGTACTCTGATAATGGTCCTGACATGAACGTAGTTGTGTAAATATTATCTGGCAATTTAAAGACAATTTGCGCTTCAGAAAGTTCATTCCAAAATTTCCTCTCAAGAGGAGCAATAGGATCACGGTTATAAATTTGATATTCACCCGGTCGTTTCATTGGGACGAAAAGTGATTCACCAGTGATTCCTGATTGAATAAAATAACAAGATATAACTGTAAATTTTGTTCGAGAGGTAAATCATCGAAAGACACTTACTGGGCAATTGTACGATAATATGGACGGCATTATCAGGAAGTATGCCTGGAAAAACTTTTCTAAACTTTATAGTTGAGAACAACTTCTCGCCTCCGAATTCTTGCTTGATATCAATTTCGGAATATGACTTCGTCTCGAGTATTTCCCACTTCCTGTTTCCTTCGCTAAGGCCTTCGACCTTCCATAGCATTAGTTGATCAGGGTCAATGTGAGCAAAAACATGTTGTTTCCGCTTCCAGATGAGCATCTTAAGATGTCAAACGGTGAGAAAGTCGATATGAATTTCAATATTATCAATGAAATTTCTTTCGCCAAATGTCTACCGCAAAAGGACTCGTAAGAGGATCAGCTAGAATGACACAAAATGACGACATTTCAATGATATATCTGTAAACGCGAAAGCCAAGTTAAAAACGGTTTATAACATTAATTTAGTAAAATAGAAATAACGACCTTAGCTGACGACATTTACGTATATATTGGTAAATTAGTAATACCTGATGAAATATAAAATCGAAATAATTATCGATAGTTGCTACATATAGAACTTTTTATTTTAATAAGCAAACGTCAAAAACAGTACTAAGTAGTCTCAAATATGAGAATAAATTACGTATCGTATTTAAAGAACAGACCTATATCTTCAAAATTGAGAGAACAATTAGCATTAAATTTCGAACGGATGAAAAAATCTTAAAACAAATAATAATTCGCTCAATCTTGAAGATATAGGTTTGTCCTTGAAATATGATACACAATTTATTCTTATTTTTAAGGTTACTTAGTACTGCTTTTGATATTTACTTATTAAAATAAAAAGTTTGACGATTTTGTATCATGGCATAATTACAGCAGAAAATTATTTAAAGTGAAAAAAATTATACTGATTTTTAAATTGTAATAATTCCAAAACTTGTATAAAATCTCAAATATATTTAATTTCCTTTTTATTAAATGTTTAAATATATCCAACCAAATTACTGGAGCAACCCGGAACAACCCGGAGCAAAATTATATAGTAACCTTGGCTCCGGGTTAGTACAAAAAACTAGAAATCTTAACCCACTCCATGACGGAGTGGGTTGATGCCAGAACATTATACTCCGTTTAACAAACCCTAGTTAAATGTTTATGGTCAAGTATCATGTATATTTATTAAATGAGACAAAACGAACATACAAAAAAGATTTTGGGTTCAAAAGTTTCTGAACGCCACAGACTGACTACATCATATTTTATTCTCTCACTTGCCTCGATATTATTAAAAATATGTTTATTAAAACAATAAGCATAACTAAAGGCCATAGTAATAGTCTATGAGTTTTATAGCATTGCCATACCACATCTAAAGATTTACTATCTTACTATCATTAACAATATAAATACTGCTGTTATTATTTTTCTTATCTTCATGTACATTATCTTTCTTCGTCAATTCAACATTGAATTGCCTTAATGATTTTTCCCTGGGTTTACTCTTTGGAAGTAGAAATTTCTTATCGTGAAGCAGCAATGGCCTTTCCTTCACCAAGTAACTTATGAATTTCAAATGCTATCTTGTTAAACAAAAATTTTGAGTCAGATTAAGTTCTTTTGTCGTATAATCGTCTCAGATCGTTCCACAATGTTTCAATATCTGGGGTGAATAAATTTTGTTCGTCGACGGTTTTGTTATTGGTTGTAACTTCATTGTCTTAACTAAAGCTTCCGTATCGTGGAGTTGGCCATTACAAATTATGCCTTTTAGAAATGAACCAAGAATGAGGCCAATTAATACTCCAAAAAATAATTTACTTGTGAATGTAAGCATTTTTTATAGAGCGTTATTGGCGGAAATTGATAGATTTGTCTTTATTTTAAACTATATATTGTTTAACGATATTTATTACGTTGTGGTGCTGTTTTATAATAAAATCACCATACACTGCGAATGCATATTAGACACGCGAGTTTCTGCGCATTGATTATCTTTAAGTTACATGAAGTGTTTCAAGTCCTCTCTAGATCCGAACAAAATATATTTTTAATGACCCAGCTGAAAACAATGGATGGGGGAGAACAAGTACCAGCCGACATCTTAAAAAGAAAATGCGTACTAATAAGAGTACGTTTTATTACTGAGATCGCAATGCGCCTATTTGCCAGAAAACATATCTCAATATGTTGGGAATTGGCCGCACCTATTTGGAAAATGTCAGAAATCATCTGGCAACGAATGGTATTGTGTCGCGCATTCACGGTAATATGAAACGAATTACTCAATCGCCAGCTGAAACGTGTTACAAATAGGTCTATCGTGATTTTATTGCAGGTCTTGAAAACAATAGCACGTTGAAATCATTGAAATATGATGCATTCCGCAAGTTATGGTACCAATTAACGCCTTATGTTCAAATTATGAGTCCAAGAACGGATTTATGCGATGCGATACTTGTCAACGTTTTCGGAACGGCTTACAGTACAATTCTCGCAAGGAAGAGGAAGCAAAAGATTTACTGAAAAAATACAAAGAACATCTGGTTAGGGCTAAGATAGAGAGAATTATTACAACAAAAATACGAAATTAGCAGAAAGAGCAAAGAAAAATTAGTAGATGAGAATTATCTTGTGATGAAAGGTAAAGTTGATTATTGTAGCATTGATGCTACTGCTCATTACAGTTACAAAATATTCACGTACCGCATTCTGATTAACAGTAAATAAGATTTATTATCTTAGTCCGTCCAACAACAGGCACGGGATCAACTCAAGAAAGAATTGTGCGAAGAAAACTGGATTGTTTTAAGGTATGTTTGGTATTACGAAGACCCATATATAGTCATTCCGGAGCATCTTCGACTCATTGAATAGAGTTAAAACTTCATATGCATGTTAAAAAAAAAAAAACAGAAAACTCAATGCAAGAACTTTATTTTTTAAATAAGCGTCTGCACACATTTTCCGAGTTGAAAAATAAGAAGTGAATAGCCAGCACCTGAAAGGTATAAATTCATGAGTGAATGACCAACCATCATAGAACGGAAGGATATGAAGGAAAGCTGAAAGTTTGCGACAAGATCTCATAAGAGGATGAATGTGTAGTTAAAAGTATATTGATCGCGGAATATTAAAATAAAAATTTTGTAATTAACGATTAATACATTTGTGAAGTTATCAATGCAAAGTCTTGATTTTTATTTTTCTGAGCCATGATGTGAAGGTTAAAAGCATAATACAATTATATTGATATATACAATTTTATTTTTCAATGAATAATTACACACATGCTACGCATACATAAAATTAAAAACATTGCTTCGAAAACTTTCCTCAATGTCATGTATAAGTTCAAACTTTTATGAAAGTCCTCCTCAAAATTTAAACGTTGAATTGGTACAAAGTCCAGAAAAATTGAGTCTAAGAACAAGGAATTGAGATGCTAATGGTGTGGAATTTTTTTCCGATGTACAAATTGCCAAAAAGTAGTTCGAATCGCTCTCCTTTGTTCTTTACATCGTAATAAGAGGATAAAGTAGAAAGGAATAGCATCTTTCCAAAACGATGAGGGCGTAGTGAAAGGATAGCACGAATATCGAGATCCTCTATTTAGAGATAAAATAAGTCTTGTCTAAATAATAGCCATCTTCTTGCCTCAAATCGGAAATGACCCTGTTGAAAGTATTTTGAGAGATTTTAAAGATGCTAACAACACATAAGCTTCTGCAGACAATATTTTGGATCTATTAATTGATTGGCCTTGAGTTATATTCATTTAACTTCAGCCTCTTCCACTCTCGTTCTACTGAATCAAACTCCATGTTGGAATATAATTGGAATCCTCGACGTGCTATCTGTAGGCCATGTTGAACTCCTTTTTTCTGAATAAAAAATTCACAAAAGGGAAGAATAAAGGATTAATATATCACTTGCCTTTTCGAATTTTTTTTTCAGACACTTCAGCTCCTCAGGCAAGGCTTTGATCCAGTGAATATCTCAGTCATCAACATTTTCCCAGATGCTAGGATCCCAATTCCAATACTCTGGGTGTAAGATTTGCATTCTAATTTTCCTATAAAGACATAACAGGCTATCTCAGCTCCGCCATGAAAAAGAAAAAAAAAAATAATCACATTGATTTGTTTAGCATGACGGAGTTCATTTTTTGATTATCGTGTTGCAGTGGTGACAGTGGTTACATCATAATTATTGTCATCACATCATTATAATTATTATCATCGTAATTATCATCATCATAATTATTATTATCATTATCATCCCGTAATCTCCTACAATTATTGTCATTGTTGTTATCATTATCATGGTGAAAATAAGGTGAATAAGTTTTGTAATACTATTACAAAGGTCAAATTTATATACTGGCGGACCACATTGATTTTTAAAGAATAATTGTTGAACAGGAAAAAAAGAGAGGCAAAGAAGGACAAACAAATGAATGAATAGGAAATGAATGTATGTAAGAGTGTTTATTTATTTAATTATATTATTTTATTTAATTATATTATTTTATTAAAAAAATAAAATAAAAAAAATAAAATAAATAAAAAATTAGATGTTTCAATATTTTTTTTACTATAAGATATTAATAGAGTATCACATTTTTTAAATGCTGATAACTTTTTAAAAAAAGGATCCAATCAAAATTTTATCACATATGATTGACCCAAGCTATCAATTTTTGTGATATTTTTTAAATAATACATTTTAAAGTTGACCTAAAATTTTGTTGAGTTAAGATGTAACGCACTATATACTGTATATGATATGGGCTGATTTCGATATTTTTATATCACGTAGGCGATATTGGCTATTATTCACAGTCGATCCTTTTTTATTGATTTCGTACCTAATCAAAAAATCGTACAAGGAGAAAAAGATAAAAAATTGCAAATTTGAATATGAAAGCTAATATTAGTAAACCGATCCAATAATCGGTTTTTACCTTTATCAACATATTCATTAGTTTTCTGACTACGGGGCTTCTATTTGTAATTTTTTATCAAAAATAATCTAAAAAGTTCTAAAATAAACATGTTAAAATCAAATCATTAAACACTTTAAGGGGACCTATTCAAAGCTCATTACATACTTCAACTGATTTTCTAGCCCAAAAAGCTTGTGGCTTTCAGGTGGGTGATTCTAAAAACTCAAAATAATAGTGAATATCAATCAAGAATACATTTCATACACGAGTTCCTCCACATTATATACATGGGAAATGACATACCCGCTGGAGGAACGGCACCTCCCTAGGCCATGTAACAGCCGGCCAGGTCGACGCTACCCTGAAGCTAATGCACATCTCATTATAAGGTTCAAATTAATAGAAGGTTACGAACCTCTTTAATTAGCAAATTTGTAATTTCAAATCGCGTTTTACTATTATCGTCTTGCAACTCTTGTTCCTTTTCTTTATCAACGATGTTTTCCAAGTAGATAAGAAACCGTTTCCGCCGAACCTTCAATTAAATTCAAATGAGGTTTCATTGCCTCGAGAAAGTGTATATATGACCTCTCTAAGATGGGAGTATTAATAAATCTAATTGAGAGTTGGTAGACATGATATGCGAGAAGTAAAAGAAGCGTAAGTTAAATATTTTTTTTTCTGATTCGATTTTGGGAATCAGATCAAGATTGTATCATCAACCAGTGTTTGCCTATCTATCATAACTCAAATGTGGTAATATATAAATTATTTTAGACAAGATAAAAATTACTAAGAATCTGTAACGACCGAACCACAAAAAAAAAATTCCGTGGATAAATTTGTAAAGAAATTGTGAAGTTCGCAACGAATTCTATATTGAAAATACGGGAAGAAATCCATGAAATCTGCGCAAAGAACCATGACGCAGCCATGTGAATGTACATAAAGCTTGCCAATTTGTTGCATCGGAGAAATATGTATTAGTATGTGCAAACATTAATTTATAATTTCACAAACTCGTTCTTTGCAATAAAGATATCTCTCTTGTCACATTTAAAATAATTGAATCTAAAATAGACATCTCCAATATAAAGGTAAAATGTGTCAAATCAATATACAACCTGTTAGTTATAAATTTGATTCTCCAATTTATTCTTCAATGTTTTTTGTAGACATTAGTAAATGTTGAAATATTGTTAAAACAGAAAGCCACTAATGCATAAAGATTACCTAGTTGGCTTCTTCTTCACACAACTTTCTCTCCGCTTTAACATTTGCCTCTTGACTTGCATATCCAAAAAAAGAATTATTTCCTTCAATCAAAAAAAGTGACAATTAGCCTAAAACAACGAATAAACGCGAGTCTTTCCCACTGCCAACACGCAGTTAACAGGGTAATCCGTAAGCACACTAACAACCAACAAACTATACACTAGCATACCATTCATTGTATGTTCACCAGTAAACACGCAGTCAACAGGGTAGCTAATTACAGAGAAAAGCAATTCAGGCTGTAGAAATCGACCAAACCAACTTGCCTTAAGACTATTTAAGCTGATTTATTTTTAATATCAAACACTATTACTTTTATTTAGTATATTTATAATAATAATAGATGCGCGAAACTATTTCTTTTAAATTTTATTATTAAGTTTTACCAAAATACTTTTAATTTTCCCGAAATTATTATTCAAAAAAAAAAAAAAGTAAACATATTAAAATTACAAAGAAAAAACTTACACTTTACTACTTATCACACCAATTCAAAAAATAATAAATTCTCCACTCATCAAAAAATCAATTTAAATAATTTTGTATCTATAGCTAGAGATTCTTTTTCTACACCGAAAGACTAAAAGAACTATTGATTACTTTATCAAATATTGATACAACATAACCGTAATATAACTGTATCTTCTACTACTCATTATAAAAAAATATTAACAAATAATAAAAGTAAAGTATTTAAGTATATACACTAATATATACACATATACCTGATATATGTATTTCTACCTATTGTTACAAAAAAATATATTTAAATTCTACCTATAGATACAATAAAGGGGATTTTGAAAAAAAAAAGATATCATACAGAAAGTGAAAAAAAATTTTTTTTTAAACAATGAAAAATAAATTTTCTCTTTTATACAAATTATATTTACAAAATGAGCGGTAACTTTAGAAAAAAAAACAAAAATGATATAAAAGGAAAAAATAAAGATGAAAAAAGATGAAAAATGTGAAAAAAAAATGAAAATGTGAAAAAAAGTGAAATAGAGTGGAATAGAGAGAGCATGCGAATATAATAAAAAAGGATGAATTGATTTGATAAAAATGTCTGTTTCATTTTGTCATTTGTTATTTTGTTGCGGAGAATTTTTTTTTTTTAAAAAAAAACTTTCCAATGTCAATGTCAAATTAATAAGTTTCGTGTGAACGAAATAAAGTCCATATTATAAATATTATAATTGTTGTTTCAAGATTCATTTATAAGCGAATTACTTTCATTACTTATAATGAAATCTTTATCATCAAAAAAGTAATCTTCTTCAGTTTCACCTTCGTTATCACCATATATGCATTGTCTTATATCATGTAAAGTGATACAATCAAAGATGAATGCGTGTATGATAACACCGATTAACTATTATTTGACAAATAAAATGGAAAATAATAAGCGACAAATTGATAAAAAGTGACAAAAGTGATAAATGTTAAATAATAAATGAAAAAATTAAAAAAAAAAATACCTGAACTAATCTTGAATAAAGTACGACCTTGGCAATATAAAAAAATTGAGGTCCAAATTTTTGCATCAATATTTTACTACAACTTTCTTCAAACATTTCATTTGACGTCGATAAATAACCTTTACATGAAAACTATTGGAATAATAAAAAAAAAAAGGATTAGATAAGAAATATATTTAATAGCACGAAATAGAGTTGATAGAATTTTTAAATATTTACCTCGTCTTCAATTTCTCTTACAAGTTCAATATCCACGTTATAAGCTCTTTGCCATGACCCACCCAAGATTTTAAAAATCCACTGATTACTAAATACGACATTATAAATAGCCGTTAATGTTTGAAGGATTGTGAATATAATCAAAAATGCCGATACCTATTTTAAATTATTGAATTTATAGAATTAAAGAATTAAAGATATAATTTTATTATGTTGTGTATGTATTTTATTCATGTACATTTCTCTCTGCTTGCATGTACACGTGTTCAAATAAATGGGCAAAAAGGATACAAATTGACCAATACAATTGTTTCTTCGCATGAAATTAAAAGCACCAAATAAAGTAATGATCCATGCACATAATACGCATACAAAATCACCATTAAGAGTTAGATTAGGTGTCAATACGATTCCAGGAGATATTTGTTTGTCTTCGGGTGAAATAATTGCGGTAAAAGAAAAATTCCGATTATAATTTTGTGCAAAAGATAAAATACTGGTAGGAACCTGATATAAAAAGAAATTAAAAAATTCCTCCAAAGATAAATAATTAAATCACATAAGATCATTAATTATCATGTAAAAGTTAGATATAACATACAACTGTCAAAAAGATAGCCATCACGACCAATAACCATCGAAATAATCCAAGTTTTTGTACACCATCCAAACCAAAGAATACAATCAAATTTTCTTGTTGACCAAGGATTGCCATTTTTTATTTGTTAATTTGTTATGAATTTTTTTTTTTTTTAATTGACAATTAAAATTTTTAAATTTTATTATAGAGAAAAAAAAGATTTGAAATTTAATTTTATTATAGAAAAAAGATTAAAATTTTATTATTATACAAAAAAATTATTTTTTTTTTTATTCGAATAAAATTATTTTTTTTTCTTGATTTTTGAACGAATGATTTTATACACGAGAAAAGTAATATCAAACGAGGATAGGGACCTCCCCCAATTATTAAATTAAAGTAACACTGCATAAATAATTTTTTGATGTGCGGTAAATCAAAAAATGCAACTGTTAAACTGTTGACTGCATAAAAAAACCAGTCTGAAAATATCCGCTGCACAGAAGACAGGGGAGACAGAAGAGCCAGAGGACAGGGGAGACAGAAGAGCCAGAGGACAGGGGAGACAGAGAGAAAAGAAAAGAAGGGATGCAAAAAGAAAAGAAGGGATTAAATATTTAAAATCTTCTGCACAATATACATCTAATACATTTAATACATTTAATACATATAATATAATATTTATATAATGCATAAAGATAAAGAAAATTTGGGGAACTTCAAGTAGTAGAATGTCAATAAACAGGGTGTTAAAGCTCACTGCTGCGTGCATAACCTTAACTCCTTATAAGGTAAGTGACTTTAAATAATATAAATAATTACACGATTTTTTATGTGTGATACTGTACGCGTAATCTAATGCAAGATTACTAAACATTTCAGCAGACTTACCGCGAATAATAAATCGGCAACACAAAAAAAAATTTAGAAGGATTTAGAAAGAAAGAGAATAAGACGACGACGTAAGTAAAGATGTAATCGGGGTTATTATTTGTTTACAATACAATTAATTATATATTATTTAAAAATATTATTTAAACATATTATTTAAATAATATGTACGTAATTAAGGATATTCATTATTCGTAATTCACAATATAAAATAATAATATATAAATATATGCAGAGACAAGTGACACGCAAATTTTTTAGGGTCCGAATTTTTTTGGTCCACTTTTAATTAAAAAAAAAAAAAAAAAATCGAGACGTCTCCGTTGTCTTTAATAATTATTTAATTAAATTAATAATCAACTCTCAACCATTATTTTTATAAGACTTTTTATAGGCAAGCACATGAAATAGATTGACATCACACGTAAACACGCTATTATCAATAAATTAAAATTATAATATACCTGATAATCATGATGACGAGTTGGTAAAAACAAACCGAGATTCGAGAGGATTTCCTTTATTTACATTACAAATATTTGTATGTTATTAAATGAGATTTCTTTTCTGAATATAGAGACACCACCTGCTCGAAATTAATTTTGAAAGCCCCGAAATTTTTTGTGGGAGTTCATGTCAGGGTTATCGATCATATGTAGTGTTAATCATCATAATTCTCGGATTGGACGAATAGGATGAATTGAGAAGACGACTTTTTATAGAAACTTTGTTCTATTTCTATTAATTCTATCCTGATACGAAGCCACCCGATTTCAAATATGTAAAATATTAATACACTATATTAATATATCATTAATATATGCTATTAATAATAAATAGTAAATATTACGGAGAAGTTACCATATTAGGAATTAAAGTGAAATGTTGGTAGGGTTAGGGGAGGTTAAATAATGAATATGTAATTTTTCCTACAGGTGACCTTTCCCCCTCCAGTGAAGATTAACAATACTTACCCCACTTTGATTTATTCCAAATAAAAAAATATCTTTCTAACAATGTTTGTTCTGATTTATCTGATTTCCGAAAAAGTCTAAATTGTTTAAGATGTCACATCAATTTTATAATCTTCATTCTTAAACATTTTATTTTTAACCATTTGTTGATTGGTAAACGTTATTTTTGAAATTTTCATTTGGTATTGCTTGTATTACTTCCATGTACTTCGAATATATTTAGATGGGATTGTTTTCTTTTCGCAAATTTGGTTTAATTGATAAGAAACTTATATATGCATTTTTATCAATTTGATCAAAATTTCATATGTTAATTTATACGATTTTCTATTGATTTGAATTTTTCACGTCATTTTAATAAATTCATCGCCCCCATAATCTCCGGATTAGACAGTAATTTCTTTTCGTTTTTTTTTCTTTGATTTCGGATAGTTCTTTACCCTACCATTACACAAATTTCCATATACTTCCAAATCACCTCAAACTTTTAGTTGAGTGGGTTTACAAAAAAAAATTTCTTCGAATAATTTAACAAATATATCCTTTTTTTATAAACAAAATTTATTTGGTAAATATACAATTTTGTATTTAGTAATTCAATTTACATTATATTAAAAACTTATAAAGAATTCATTGTTCATTTTTTATTATATTACAATATCATGAGGAGATATAGTTATTGATTTAGTCTACAAATTGACAAATAAATAATATAATATAATAATATATATTACATAACTTTAAAGAATAATGAATTCATTTTTATAAAAATAAATAAAATAAAATTAAAAATAACTTACTCTATTATCAGTCTTGTAAATTCCTACTAAATGATCTGCCAATTCAAACATGTTATTTCGTAAACTAATAACAATGAATTGGGCATTCTTGGTACGTTCTTTAATATAATTTGCCACAATTGAAACATTCCGAAAATCCAATGCCGCATCAATCTCATCCATTACATACAATGGTGTCGGTTTGTAATGATGAAGTGCAAACACCAAAGCCAAGGAACTTAATGTCTAGATGGAATGATATTTTTTTATTAATATTTTATCAATTTGTTGTAGATAATGTAAATAATATGAATTTACCTTTTCACCACCCGACAGATTAGAAATATTTTTCCAGCTCTTTTTTGGTGGCATAACACTAAAAATAATTCCTTCAGAAAAGGGATCTAGACTGTCACAACATTCTAATTCTGCATTACCCCCTAGTGTAATCATCTATCAAATGAAGTAAGGTTTTAATTTATAAATTTGGATTGATTCATTACAAAAAAAAAAAAAAAAAAAATTTAACCTGATACATCTCTTTGAGTTTTTGAGATATCTGCGTAAATCCATGCATAAACTCCTCCAATCGCGTTTTGCGTAAATCATCGTATTCACCTTTGCATTCATCACGTAATGTAGTAATTTCTTCAAGATCTTTAACACGAGATAAATATTCATCTTCACAACGTTTATATTCTGTTAACACATTGAGATTCGGATTGGCATTTTGTACTTTCTCTTTGTTAAATGTAATAAAAAAATTTGATGGTTCAATTAAAAAAAAAGAATTTATACTATTAATATAAATTATATTATTAATACAAAATTCTACTATTAATACAAATTATACCATTTAGAGCTGTAATTTCTCTTTGCAATGCTTCTGCATGCATTGCCTTAAGTTCGTCATCAGTGAATATTTGAAATTCTGGTTTTTCACCATCATCATCACTACATACAAATAATAATTTCAAAAAAAAATTGAAAAAAAAAATACTTGTATAAAAGATAAAATTTTGATGTAAATTTATATTATACCTAATTTCATGAAGAGAGAGCTTTTGGAGGGAATTAAGTAAATGATTTTCTTTTTGTTTATTTTCTAACAAGGCACGCTCACTATTTTCAAGTTTATTATTGATTTCCAACTAAAAAATCATTTCAACAATAATTTTAATTTTCAATTTATTAAAAAAATAATTTCGTTCAGAAATGAAGTGCTGACCTGAATAGCCCTAATTTGATTAATCATAGTTGTTTTTTCGTCACGTTCAACTTTAATTTCATCCAATGCATCTTTCATATCTTGAAGTTTCTAGTACCAAAAAAAAAAAATAATAATAAATGATAAAAAAAAATGAATTAATAAGTCGGTAGTAGAGATATTAACATATTAAGTTTCTCAATAATATTAATTACATCTTTCGCTTTATCTGCTCTTAATCCAATCTCTCCCGAAGCCTCGGCATTTTGTCGAATATTGACTTCAAATTCTTGTATTTCTCTATTCAATAATTCTATTTCACTCTCATTTTTCATAATAGAATTTTCAAATTTCGTCACGTCCTTTTCAGCCTTTGATTTCGCAACATGTGATGTTGTAATTTGTTCATTCATCATGTCTATTTGTTCTTTTATTGAATTAACTTCTTGTTTCTGGGCTCTAAGTTTGTCACCACCTTCTTGTAAAATCTTTTCATGATAAAATTTGATTTCATCTTCAATTCTTGAAGAATAATTTTTAAGTGTGCTCAATTCCGTATTTAATTTTTCATTCTCACTTTCAAGTTGTTGCATTCGTCGTCGATCTTCAAAATTAGGTTTGTTTTGTTGCCTAAAAAAGAGGTTGATATGTATGTTTTTTAATAAAAATAACATGCATTTTTTATCGCATTTACCGCATTTATCGCGTTTATCGCGTATCATGTTTATTGCTTACCCCAATTCAGAAATAAGTTTTTGAATATCCGCAATTCGTTTAACACAAGAATTTAAATCCATTTCCAATTTTGATAACGAATGTTCTATCTTAGGAATTTCATTTTTAAATTGTTGAAGCTGGTTTTCGTATCCTTTACGTTGTTCAATAAACTCTTTCCATTGGCTTTCTAAATTAATTCGTTCTCTTTCCAATGTAGACATTGCTTCTGAAGTTACTTCAGGAACAAATTTTGAACTCATACCCCCACGAATTATTCTGTTACCGCCACCACTCATGGTACCAGCTTTTTCAAAAAGTTGCCCTTCTAAAGTAACCACACGCCACCTCGGCTTGCCGTATGCAATCCTGGTGGCTTGTTGTAAATTATTTGCGACGAGTGTATTCTGTAAAACTTTATAAAAAGCTGGGGCAAATTTATTATCCTTTGGTCTAACAAGATCAAATAATCTAGGAATTCCTTCAGGAGCTGAAATTGGTCTCATGTCCGTTGATGAAAGTTGATTCAAAAGAATAAAATTAGCACGTCCCAAGTTATGTTTTTTAAGATATTCAATACAAACTTGTCCGACTTCAACCGAATCAACTACAATATGATCTAACGCCGAACATGCAGTTGAGACAGCGACATCATATTTATTATCAATAACTCCAAGGTTGCCTAAACGATCCTGAACAAAAAAAAAAAAAAAGAATTGACAATTAGGCCATTTTAAATTATCCGCATTCAATTCATTTAATTTATAAAACTTACATATAGTCCTTTGATACGGCCACTATCCTTAAGTTTTAACAGGCTGCCAAGAACTTGTCCTCTGGACTGAGATGATTGTAAAAGAGTTTTTGCTTCATTCTCCTTTTGACGAGCCTCAGCAAGTGCTGAACGAAGTTTCCCTTCTATTTCATCTGCATTCTTTGTGGTGATAAATGGTTATAAATATTTAGTGCTAAACATGAATTTTATTTGAACATATACAAATTATAATTCTTACCTTCAATATCGATTCAAGCCTTTCGATTTCGTTTTTAGTTAAATTTATTTGATGTCTATTGACCATGATTTCTTGTTCCTAATAGATCGAAAAGATTATATTAATTCATTATTTATAAACCTCGTCTTTATATTCTTTTTGCAGGATTATAATAAACCTTTGAACGCCGAGTCTCCTCGAGGGAAACTATGTCTTTCTCAGCTTGTTCAAGGTTGCGCTTTATGGAATTAATTTTATCATTAATTATATTATATTCGGATTGAGTAACATCTATAGCTGATTGTTTTGAATTAATCTTTTCTATCCATGGAGATAATTCCTTTTGTTTTTCTTCAATTTTGGAAGTGTATTGTTCAGTTTTACCTTATTTTCCAAAAATGATAATTATTTATTACGCTAAAGACAAATGTATTTAAATTTTAAAAATTATTTAATAAATTACCAACCCTTAAGACTTTCCCGAATAATTTCTAGTTTTTGCTCTTCAACACCAAGAGATCTTTCTAAATTTTCCAGTTCACTTGTTCTTTTAATTAAATCTTCTTCATTATAACGAATAGCTGTTCTCGCTTCAGACAGAGCGTGACGTTCCTATTTGATAAAAAATTTTAACTAAAATTTTAATCGCGAATACATATTAATAATATATTGAACTTTGTCTTACATTCTGTATGGTTTTTAATAGTTTTTTTTGTTTAGTTTGTGCGTGTTTCTTCTTTTCTTCCAAATGAATAATCTCTCTATCATATACTGCTTTTTCTTTTAGAATTTGATCAGTTTCCTTTTCGAAATTCTAAAATTGGAATTTTGAAATTATTTAATAACTTGAATCCTTACTTTAATAAATCTTTAATAAATTTCATAGAATGAATAATTGATAATAAAATATATTTGCATACGGCGTATTCCTTCAAAGAATTTGCATATAAATTTTCGAGATTTTCATATTCTTGATTCGTCTGTGCGTGTTTTTCTTGTTCTGATCGAAGTTCATCCCTCAATTGATCCTGCGATACATATTAATCAATTATTTTGTATATTTTGAACATTTTGAGAACGATTGTGATTAATTTACGTACCTCCGTTCTGGTATTGATAGCAATGACATTTTTTAAATCAAAAAGTTGCTTTTGATATAAAGCAGATTTTTTAAGGGACAATCTATTTTCTTCTTTGAGAAAATCTTCTGCTTCTTTCTTTTTAGCCTTTGTTAATATAAAATTATAAAATAAAAAAAATTAAAAATTTGTTGTTCAAAATAAATTAATAAATTAAATTCTTATTTTTTTTTTATGATACCTCTAATCCATCTTTCTCTTTTTCAATTATTTTCACTCGATGTAATTTTTCTGAACGTTCCTCATTATATTGTTCGATCTTTTGACTGGTCTTTTCAATAGGTTCCTTATATTTGGAAGTTCCTATTATGTCTTCTAAATATTCTAAAAGCCCATCTTCATGTTCATTCGGAGCTTTAGGTTTCATCTGTGCTATAGATTCGACTTCCCCCTAAAGATGAGTCAATACAAAAACAAAATTTATTCATATTTGATTTTTCCTTAATGATTCTTTAATGATATTACCTGCAATATTAGAAATCGTTTATGATCTAAGTCTACCCCTCTATCTTTTAATAAAGAAGTTACTTCGGTATAACTGCTTAGACGTCCATTGATAAAATATTTGCTTGTATTATTCCGAAATGCTTGACGTGTAATAATTAGTTGAGAATGAGGAATGACCTCAAAATCATTTGGATCAGGCTAAATTATAATCAAATCCATTATTAGAAAAAAAATAAATAAAAATTTATCATTTCCATAAAATCTTATTTTTACCAAGTCATATATATCTTGAAAATGCACATCAACAGTACAATAACTTAGGCTTAAATGTCCCCGCGATGAATGGATGAGCTCAGATAGTTTGCTCTGTCGCATTTTGCTTGCTCTATTTCCGAATACAAATAAAAGTGCATCGATAACATTCGATTTTCCTGACCCATTTGGTCCAACAACAGAAGAAAATGACTAATGTAATTAAATATAATTAAATATAATTAAATATATTAGATATAATTTAAATTTATCAAATTTAATAATATAATTGAACAAGAATTTTGTTTAAAAAGAGTTTTAAATAATTAATGTTTACTTTGTGGAATGGTCCTATCTCTTGACGACCAAAGTATGACTTAAAATTAATTAAAACCATTTTACTTATAACCATACGTGGAGTACGCTTCTCCTGATGAGATAATCTACGTTCAGATAACAAAAGACTAGCTGGCGAGGACATTTTTCAGGGAATCAATATTATTTCGATCCTATCGATCTATTTTCAATATCAATATTGCATTTTAAGGACGCGTTTGTGTAACTACACCTTTGGCATTTCAATAAGTTCGCGTGATACGAAAAAAAAAGATTTACACGATTATCGATCTACAAGAAAATGATAAAATTTCATGCACTATTATACTTTTTTACAAATATAAATTTTTCATGTACTTTTTAAAACATTGTTATAATTTTGGTACTTTATTCAAAGTAAACTATCTTTAAGCTATTAAGTAAAGCTGTTCAGCAGGTATGAAAGTTGGATATTTGTTTTTTCGTTAAAACCAACTTGCAATTAAAGAATTGAACGACAATCTTTTACACAAGATTTTGCTTATAGGTAATACACTCTTAAAGTTTTTCCTTTCTAGTATAATAAATAAATGAGACAACAATATTTGTCATTAGAAGAAAGAAATAAATGAGTTTTCGAAGGATAATGGAGTGGCCTTTTGGGTTTGCAATGATTCTAATTGGTTTTGAGGTCAGTTGACAGGTGTTTTACATAACAAAGCATTGTAAAAAAAAATACGAATACAGTGAACCCTATATAAATGCACCCCCCAGGGAAGCATTAGGGTGCAATTATAGAGGGAAATTTTATAAGTGTTATTAGTAGATGGAACTGGAGTATAGGGTGCATTTATAGAGGGGTTCATTTTATGTAAAATTTTGATCTAATTTAGAGTGATTAACATAATAAAACATATACTTTTCTCGAAATACATATTTCTGCTCCCACATAAACCTTCAATCGTGATTGGATAAAATGCCATTCCCAAAAGGTTATGTATGTGTGAAATGGAATTTTCACACGTTCAGGTTTATCGCATTCCGTTATCTTTTAATAATCCTATAATTATTCTAATCGCTTTCTTTATACCTTTTTGAATCATTTCGAGATACTCTTTTAGAATCTTGTGAATTAGTTGTATTACATAACCATTTTTGATTGTACAAATTGAAGCGAAAAAAATGTAATGTGACCAACAATAACATATCAATATAAATAATGGATTCGTTTGAAGCTTTTCCGTTTTAACACTTTAAAAATAAATAATTCGTTATATTTAACCACAAATTTATTAGTAATTCAAATAACGAAATAAGTGCAATATGTAGTCAATTAGAAAAAGACAAAATTGAAATTGGAAAGCAATATTGTTGTTCAGTAGAAGGTAGAAATTGCACTTTACACACCTATGGATCTGGTTGTGTCGGAAGTGATTTCGAAATAGCTCAATGCCATAATATTACTACCTATGATCCTTGTTTAAAACGAACGGATTATAATGCAACCCAAGCTTGTGGTGGTATTCAAAACTATTATTTTTGTATGTCTTCAACTTCTAGAACTACGAAACACACAAACTCCATCCGATTACTCGAAGCGATTGAATGAATGGTCAATAGAAGTTCTGAAGCCAAATCCAGAATAATAACAGTTTGCGATAATGGAATTAATTTATCCCCATATAATGAAACTTCTTTACCTGACAATACTATTGCTTATGCGACTTGTGGTGATATATTTCAAAATACATATAATTGTTCATGGACCAACAAAACAAGCAAGGTTGACACTGAACGCAATCCTTTGGGAGAAATATGTGAAAAATTACCGGTCACCAATATAATTACCACACAAACTGTAATTACGTCAGATTATGGTTTAACAACGTTAATTATTACTACAGTAATTTTTGGAATAATGGCTACGACTTTTGCAGTATTATATTTTAAAAAATACAAAAGTGATGTGGTACTGGTACAGACGGACGAATAAGAAGTCAGGAAAAGTCAACAGCCACCTGACGAATAGGTTTACCCTTTAAAGTATATTTTTTTACTATTTGCTTTATTAGTTTATTAAACAATATTTTTATGTTATTGGAGGAAGTTCACTTCCTTATATAAATACTTTCATGAATTTTTATAACATGAATAAAAAACATTATATTTATTAAAATTTCATATGTAGAAAATAGATTTACTATAATTTTAAAATGTATTGAAACAGCTGATCCAAATTTTTAAAAGGAGGAGGTCATAGATGGTTGCCTTAATTCAAAAAAGAAAATTTTGACAATAAGTCTATTGTTAAAATTTTCTTTTTTGAATTAAAGCAACCATTTATGAAATATATTACTTGAAATATTCTCTGCTTTTTTTCTTGTGTGATTGAGATGTTTTTTCCTGATTTTTATTTTGGTTTTGATTCAAAAGCTTTTTCACAATTTTCAAGTTTGAAAATTCAAACATATTAGTATTATTGCTTTGTAATAATTCTTCAAATAAATTATTAGAAATTAGAAGCAGTGATTTGAACTAAAGAGTTTAGGAGATTTAGATAGGTTTAAGATCCAATGGACTAAACTAAAAAGTAAAGTATAGATGACTTTTTGTTATGGACAAAATCTTTATTTATTTACTTAGGTTTAGAACTATTAACTCAGATAAAAGAAAATTAATTAATAAAATTAAAAGATAAAAAATATAAGCAGGTTTTAAACAATTTAACCTGGATCATTAATTGGAGGTGTTGACATGATTGATAATTTAATAGTATTGGTAAAGTTGAGTTATCACAGGCCAAATACAGAGAATAGGCATACCAAAAAGGAATAAATAGGACAGTTGATTTTATCCTGATTTATAATTAGGAATTCTGATTTTTGGTTGATTTATATTGATTTTTAGTTGATTCATGCTAGTGATTTAGTTGGGAATAAGTAATTATTTTTTCAAAAAAAGGCCAACAGTTTGTAGTAAATTAACTTAGCTTCAAAATGACAGCTTCCTTTTTTTGATATTACTTCTGTATCAGGTTCTATAACTTTTAAAAATTATTAAATTTATTGCAGTCTTTAAGTGCACTGTATGTCATATAATTTATTATATAAGTGCTTGCCAGAAGTACAAAAATTTATATGAATAAAATGAATTCAAAAATTTTATACGAATAGAAGAGAGAATTTAAAAATTTAATAAAGAAAAAAAGAGAACTTAAATGTTTTAAGCATTATTTTTTTATTTTTACATAATTATTAATTTTGAAAGTTATAATTTTATTTAAATTATTAACTCTGAATTCAAAACAAATGAAGCGGATTATAGTTAATATTGGCCATACCAACACCGCTGAGATAATGTGTTAGCATAGATAAAAATATATATATTCGATTCTTTTCAATTTATTACAATCAATAAAGCAAAGGCACATTAACGTGATTTTTACATACAAATATTTTTTTAATGTGATTAAACTTTTGAATATAACTATGTTTTATACAAAAAAAAATGACAAACACGCAATTCACAATTAATTCGTTAAGAGAATTGAATACCAAACTTGTAACTGAGATTACTGAGCTTAGAAAGAAATTTGCCGAAGTTGAGGATGAGAACGCAAAACTAAAGCAAATTATAGAAGCAAGCACTGAACTTTTAAAGTCAAATTTGAGGAATTAGAAAGGAAAAATAAAACAGATACTGTCAACCTCACTGCTGAGAATGCTAAGCTTAAAGAAAGGATCACGAAATTGGAACAGAAGCAGATCCAAGTCATTACTATGAACAAGAGGCATCTTCTATAAAGGATATTCCGCTATCCTCATCTTGTTCAGAATTATTAGTTAACACTCAGGACAAAAAGGATGTTATTATCCATTCCGTCACCTATTAAGGGCCATTCTGATGAGGAGAAAAACATTACTCCAGATCTCTTGCCAGAAGTAGAACATAACTCAACACAATCCAAATCTTCAGCAGAACCTATGCGCAACCTCTTTACCACAAGGGATTATTGGTGACGATTTCAGTTGAGACCCTTGAATTTACATAAATAGTATATAAGGAAAAGATTAGTAATAACAACATCAATAATACTAAGCATAGAAGTCAATTAGAACCAGAATATTAATATTCCAAATAGAAAAGGAAGAAATTAATTATAAGATTAAATTAGTCTATCAAAAAGAAGTCTTAGGTTCCGTTTACTCTGTGTTAGCTTTTGATGAAAAGTTATTGGTTGGAGTTGATGGAAAGGTATTTATTCTTTCTTTTATTTGGCTTGAGAATAGTAATAATAATAATTAAATTTTAATTCTTCAATATAAGTTTCAATATATGACTTTATAAGATTAGAAGATGGCAAACGTGATTTAGTTCCAATATGTAACTACAATTTCATTTTGGTAGGAGGTATAATGAGATCAATAGTCTTATTGGTTTATAAAGAAACTGGTGGAGGTGGTGGCGGGAAAACCTTAGAATTCGTTACTCATCGATGGATTAATTATTTACTCATTTATTTAATATTTATTTATTTAGGTTCATTAGCAGCAAATGTATCATAACCGATAATAAATATATAATCTCGAGTATTATTCATTACATCTTCCGGTGCAATTAGAATTATAATTCCTATCAGTCAAGAACAATTTGATAAATTAAAAAAATTACAAGATGCATATCAAAAGGTTGTTAACTAGAATGCATTATTATAATAACAACAATTATAATATAATATTTTTTATATGTCATATAAACACTATGCTATATATTTAGAAGCAATTTTAATCATTTTTATCTCATCAATTAAAAAAAATGTAATGTTCCCGTTAAAACCAATCCAAAAATGTATATCCTTTGAGAGCAAAAAATTTGACCCAATTTTATTTCCATTTTTTTTTTCAATCACCTCACTCATTAAAATTAAAGAAAATAGAATGTATAGTTGCGATAAAATTCTTTATTATGATTGTGCAAAATATGTATTTCAAAAATAATTTTTGTAAATGGACTAGTGGAAGTAAAAAAAAATAGATAAATTTATTCAAGATGCTCAACTGAATGCAGATGAAATCTGGAAAGCAATAGAATGGATTACTTATAATAGATTCAAAGGTATTAAAGAAATTGCTAAAGGCGGTTTTGGTACAATATATTATGCTAAGTGGATTGATGGATATATTAAGAGATGGGATATTAAAAAAAAAAACAATGGAAAAGATACGGTAAACTTGAAGTGGCATTAAAAAAATTTAATAATTTTACAAATTTAAATGAAGAGTTCTTAAATGAGATAAAACTTTTTTTTTTTGAAATATATAATATATAATATATTAATTATAATTTATTATTTAGATAGAATTCACTTTAAAACAAATTCCTTTTCTGGTTCCGTTCGAATTTGTGGAATAACAAAAGATCCCGAAACTAATAAATATATTATGGTTTTAGAATATATGTCTGATGGAAATCCTAGAAATTATTAAAAAATCATTTCGATAATATTATTGCAATTAATAAATTATTTTATTTAGCATATAATTTTAAAAAATTTCACAAATTAAATATAGTATATCAGGATTTTCATCCTGGAAATATTTTATCAAAGAATTTTGAGTGTGATATACAAATTTCCGATTTTGGATTAAGTAAAATAGTTGGACAAAGTTTAGAAAATTCTAATAAAAGAATTATCTTTGGTGTATTACCCTATAATATTGCTCCAGAAGTTTTATATGGAGAAAAATATACTAAGGCTACACTAGCCAGACAAACATGCAATGGATTTCGACCAAAAATCCCATTTCATACTCCAAAATTAATTAAAAATTAAGTAAAGAATTGAATAAATGCCGTCGTGAATACCTTTGGAGACAATAATGAAATTACAATTCAAATTGATAGTGTGAAAAATTTTCTAAAATAAGTTAAAATGGGGATTACGGAGGGCGATTAGGGGCGGTAATTCAACAAGCACACCTCCACTTAATTATCAGACACGTCCAGAAGCAATTTATAATAGTAGACTTCTTAATTATTCAAATCTTCCAAAATGTAAGAATTAAGAAAATTTTGAAAAACAACTTGAAGAAATAACCAAATCTGTTCCTGTTTTAAGTGTTGGTAAGTAATCAAATCTATTCTCTTAAATATATTTATAAATTTTTATTATTATTGTAGTTTTATGTATTTTATTTCTACATTTTTATGAATTCAATTAGCTTAAAATATTATGGAATAAGTTTGTTATTGAGATTTTTGATTATATTGAATATCAAAAATATCAAAAAATAATATAATTAATTGCTTATTAATGTATTTTTTTTTTATTCGCTAAGGGTATCAGTCAATGGAATAGTTTTTTAAAAAATTTTTTTAACAAACAAACACAATTCACATTTGTTGTAGGTTAATCATATATATATTTTGTTTAATAAGTTCTATTTAACATATATAATATTCATGTAAATGATATATTATTATTACTTAACAGTATTTTGCTATTATCCACACATAAATTTATACTAGTAATTTAACTGATGTCTTGAGACTTTCTGTCACCATACAAAATTTAGAAAATTCTTCATTTAACCATCCTTTTGTAATATTATAATCTTCCGATTTTTATTCCATCCAATCTACAAAAAAAAAATTGCTTCCAAATATATTTTATTTTGCGAATAAATTTAAAAATCTTTATTTTATTTGCTGATTTAAGGTGTCTCGCACTGTACATTATTAATAATAAAATCACAAAGTGCATTCATAAACTCATATTAAATTTCATTCTAATGTCTAATTACTGGCACAAGTATTTCGACGAGACCAACGTTAAGTCCTGGTCAGTTTCTCGGTTTATTGAAGCGAGAATCCTGACGAAAAGGACTCGATCACTGTAAGGCTAGGGACGCGCTCTTCAAGAATCTCCGGGTGATTGCTAGTAAAAGCTCAAATGCAAGAAAAATTGAAATGCTCTTAAGGTTTTGTCATTACTGTTGACTTTTCGTCCACGACTTTTTGTCGTCACGAACTTTTTGTTCACAACTTTTTGTCGTCACTGACTTTTCGTCCACGACTTTTTGTTGTCACGGACTTTTTGTTCACTCCACAACCTTTTGTTGATAGATCGTGCTACTCATCTTGCCTTTGTTGCATATTTTTTTTTTCTTGTTAGAGCCGGCGTATTGATGAAAACGTGAAACGCATTGTCCACAAAAATAAAAGATCTCTGGGAGAGGCAATCTACAGTTTGTATCATGTGACGGATTGCAGATTGGTAATTTGTCACCTTTATTTCCTGAACAGCTTACGAAGATGAGAAGATATTATTATCATCAACTCCATCACTCAATGTCAGTATATAACTTAAATTTAATGTCTTTTTTTTTTAGTTTTATCAAATTATTAAATTTTTGTTTTAATAATTTATCAAGAATATGAGATCAGAAAATATATTTCACTCAAAAAGTAAGTCTTGATGATTTTGTAAGACACAAAAATTATTCACAATTAACTTCATGCTTTATGTTTGGGAAAAGGAGGAAGTATAATTTTTGATATTACTGATGTAATTGTACTTCGTGATGGAAGAGTGTTGACAAAACCAAAATCATCAAGTAATGAAGAAAGTAATCGTTTACCAGCTATGGCTACAAGTGATATTGGCGAAGAAATGCAAAATTTAGAAGATGATGAAGGTGATGAAGAATTTCCCAGTTTAGATGATATTCAAATCCTTGTCATACATCAATGGATTCTACCCTCAGAAAAATCTGTCAAAGATATTTTTGCTGAAAATATGTTCCAACATGCGGAAGTATTGAAAAATAAAGAAAACGTAACTCCGAAATAAAAAGGCACCATGAAATATTGTATGTCAAAAGTAATAGATCTCTTAGCACATATGCGAGAATGGTTTTCTATTGAAGATCTTCGGTATATTTTGAAAGAATGTGAAACAGTTTTAACTGTTCCTATGAAGAAGTAGATGTATTTATTACTAAGGTAGAAAAGGTAGGATATACATTTATAAATGTAGTTATAAATATTTCTGTTTCTTTTCATGTTTAGATTGTACAGAATGGAGATGCAAATGAAGCATATAAATTTTGCCTCGAAAAACATATTGAATCACCAAGAAATATCTTGCATTTATAAAATTATTTACAGTGAATTGTATATATTTTATGGTTATATGTATTTTAATGTGTAACTTGTTTGATTAATTATCTTATTTGTTTATATAGAAATAGATGTTATTGTTAAGGCATGCTCTTATATTGTAAAAGGATTTAGGAAAGGTCTTGGAATAAATTGCAAATGGTATATAAGCATACTTTTTTTTTTGGTTTCTAGATTCGAACTAGTATAAAACTTATGAATTTACAAAATGTTTATAGGAGAGAGTCTTTTTGTCCCTTGAGTCGATCATCAACTTATGAAAAAGGACGGTGTGATATTCGATTTTTAAGCTCTACTGGGATGGATATTGGGGAATGGGAATTCTCTGCACGAACCACTCCAGCAAAGGCAATTGGAAATCGGGGTCGTTCTGCAAGGGTTAATCAAAACATATTGAATGGCATGCTACGATTAGACTTAACAAAAGAACAATTAGAAACAACAAAGGTTCCTTTTTTGCAGATTTCTGGTGTATATGGACAAATGTTGGTAGAAGACTTAGTAAATGGTTATTATGTTGTTTTTCCCGGACCAACATTTGAGTTACCAATCAAATTATCCCATATTAAAAAGTTAAGGACAACATTAAAAATTTTTAAATATGTATTGGTAAGTATTATATGCAGTCTTTCTTGGACATCAGGAGATCTAACATGTTATGTTGGAAATGTGTGAAAAAGTCAACAACACGCTTTGTGAATTGGATCATGGATATAACCCACTTAATAATAATTGCGAACCTTCACATTACAAATCAACTTTTATTCATGATCCTTGGTGGACACCAAAAAAGAATATTTCTTCTCAATTTATAGATGCGTTTAAAGAAATGCAAAGCGAGAAAAGAATGAAGTATATGATTTTATAGGGAAATAGATATTTTGAGTGATCAATGAAATTTGCATTTTTTATTCACAATGTTATACAATAGCTTTTTTTTTAATAAAAAATAAAAATAAAAATACTCGATACGCAATTTTTATATAGAGTTGACGGATTATTATGATAACAAATCGTTTTATATTTTCTTTTCTTTACAAAAATGACGCACGCATTTAAAGTTTTAAGTTTACTTAATGTGACCCAATTTTCTAAGATACTCAGGAATAACTTCGTAATATCTTAAGACCGATTTTTTATACTATCCTGCAAATTTTCTTGGTGAAAGTGATCGGTTCCAAAACGGGATCGCGCAATTTATTTTTATTGTTACTGCTTGTACACATTTACTCATTGGCCAGGCAAAAAATTGTTACGCAAAAAATCTCAATCATATGTAGCAATTTCCGAAATAGAACATATCTATATTTGTAATCAGTAATTTGAGAATGAGTTTATTGAATAATATTTATTTATTTATTTATAAAATTCCTCATATTAATTTTGCGACGTTGCCAACCACTAAATTTTGACATATTTTTAATTTGATTTATCTCAGCTGACGATTTGATAACTGTTTGAAAGGTATCGAAGTGTTTTGTTCGTGTAAAATATCGAATATTTGGTGTTGATTGATTTATGAATTCATCTAAATATATGAGAGGAATCATGGAAGGTCTGTTTTCGATGTCATACAAAATAGAAAGTTACTATTAAATAAATTTGATACTTATTAGATTTTCAAATAATTTTTTTTTTTTTTTTTTAAAAAAAAAAAGAAAAGAATCCAATAACCTTCCGTGAGCACACTGAAACGGAAAATCACATAAAGAAAGTCTTGATATCAAGTTTTCACATTGATTCATAGTCAATCGATCATTAAACATGATAGCCCCTAAAGATAAAGAAAAATATTAAAATATTATTAACTTAAATACATATCAAAAAGAAATTTTAAACAAAATGAATAATTACCTCGACAAGCTTTTGAATTTATAATATCCAATATTCCCCTTGGACATTTTCTTATCATTTTCTTCCAATCCCTGTCTTCGTTATCAAATATATTTCCATCGTCACTTTTTAGAACCATACCTGTATCTTCTAACCAATAAAGATGTTGACGTACAATTTCTTGCATGACTCGTGAATCAGATATACATCGATCCGAAATCATTTTAGGAAGATGTGTTATATAAATTTGAATATGATCAATGTCAAATAATGAACCAATAGGGGGTGATATAAATGTCAAAGTTGATGGTGTATCTAGTTTTCCATCAAATTTATCACTAAAGTAAATTCCCCATCTATTAAAATCTTTTTCAAATCTTTTAACAACTTGAATCTCTCTACATGTCAATACTATTTTAATAGGTGGTTTTGCTTGAACCAAGAATGATGGTTTTCCTGATTCTTTTGATTCTTTAGTGAAATCAAAATCACAACAGAACTCTTTCAATAACATTTCAACTCGAATTCGTTCATCAGCTGCATGTTGATCCACAATAACCAATAAATGTCGCGTGTCTTGTTTATCAATTCCCTGATCTTCATTTTGAGAACAAGGAAATTTACAAATAATAAATTTATCATCAAATTGTCCAATTACTTCTGCATTTTCAACATCTTTTTTACTGAATCGATGTCCTAAAACATTAGATTGTGCCAAATCATTTAAATGAAAAATTTTATTGTTGTTTGAAGTGATATTTTCTAAAAAAGGCATTGGAACATCGTCACATTTGAAAACAGGATTTCTCCAATTCTACAAATTTCAAAAATTAATATATTAAATCAAACAACATAACATATTATAAGAATGTATTATAGAACACTATATGTATGTAATAACAAATACCTCAAAAGCTCTTTTAGCCCATGATGTTTCATTAGATGTATTATTATTTTTAATAGTAAAATTCGATAAGCGCAAATGACTTCGGTCTACTTTTGCATTCATAACATTACTCGAAGTCAAATTTCGAGTGGATGATTGGCCGGGTAATTTACTATAACTAGTGATTGTATTTAAATAAGAATCCAAAAGAAATTTTGTAAAAGAACAAATAACCTTTAAATAAAATTTCTTACGAATTTCCTGTACGTAGATCCACATAATGACCTTTTTTATTAAAAGGATTCGTCTGTTTTATATATTCATTTTCATTAATTTTAAAATTATTATTTTCTCTTGATGATATACATTGATCGTCAGTCTTTGCAATTTTGGCAGGTGGATAATTATTTATACTGCCAACATTCAATTCTTCGTCAAGGAATATATACGGTCGCCGACCACCAATTTTAATATGAGCCAATTCCTCAAATGTTAAAGGCAATTCTTGATGATTCTTAAGTTTTGTCACGTTTGTCATGTTTGCAGGATTTTTGGAAACTTCACATGGAACTTGAGTTTTTAAAATATCTCGAATCGAAAATCCGTTATTCACCAAAAATCGAGAAACAAGATTTGAAATAAGATTTGAGACTTTCTCCCAATTCTGAATTTTTGTAATTAAGGTTAATTGTAAAGTGTAAGATATAAACATAAAAATACAAATCAATTTTTTTCATATACCTTAAATTCTATTATATTCTTAGACGGATCTAAGCAAATATCGTAATCAGTTGGACGGCAAGTTAAATTGATTAAGAAAATTGGATATTTTTCTGAAGTCTTTATTGAATCATTCTTCCCTGTGGATATTATTATTCTTCAATTATCAATCACGAACAATCAAGAACGGTTATGTCGAATCTGATAGTCGAACAAAACTTACTTGATTTTCTTTGAATATTAGAACCCAAATCCAAAAACAATTCATCCCGTGACTGTAAAATCACAAGATTAATGAAATTTAATAAATGTAATAAGTGAGTGATATATAAAATAACAAACCCTACCTTTTTTCCAAAACTACTTTTATTAAACAAATCATCAATCAATTTATGTATATCATTATTTATAATAAAATGATTATTGACATCTATGGATATTATTAAGCAAAAATGATCAAGAAATATGTTCCAAAGAAAGATAAAAATAAAAAAAAAAGCATTTAATATATTTACAAAAATATTGATGATGCTAAAAAAAAAAAAAAAAAAAAAAAAAAAAATTAATAAAATGTATGATAAAAACTTTGATAAAATTTAATTCGAAAGTTACCTACCTTTGTATGAAATGCTTTTAAAGAAAAAAATCCGCAAACATTAAAATGATTTTCATCAACATGAACAGGTACAAGATTCTGATATAAAACAAAAAGTTATTGAAATTATTTTATTTGTTATTCAAAATAAATAAATATCGTTATAAATTACCTGTGCTAAGGTGACCCCAAAAATTTGACGAAAAGTAGAAATATTTGAAATTGCCTGAAAAATGATATAAAAAAAAAAATTTTATTTATTGTGATTAAAATTTATCAAGAATAAAAATCGATATCAAATACCTTTCTGGTAGAGATTATTTTACAATCTTTAGATGCGTCCATCAGAATGAAAGTAATTTGAGGATGTATTAATGCTATTGTCTCAATTGCCCTTTTAACTTTTTCCATCTCATTTACTAGTGAATTATCGGAATAATTCTTTCTCCGAACTGGATACTGAAATTTCCAATACAATCATATTATTAGATTAAGAAAAAAAATCATTAAAAAAAATCACTTTAAAGATACTGAATTATTATACATTATAGAAAAGATCACGAATAATTATTATGGTTCCTGGTTTTGATTGTTTATTATTTCGTGTTGGTCCATTTTGAAGGCGTACACCTCCCTAGAAAAAATAATCCAAAAAAAAAAAAAAAAATTTAAAAAAAAATTTGAGCTTTGAAAAAATCACATCATTAATGAATTTCACGTACTTGACCTTAAATATAGTTTTATAAGTATCATAATAATCGGAATGCTTGCTTGTTATTTCTAATTCTGAAACTTCAGCGAGATTGGCTAAAGCTTTAAATAATAAAATTAACTGATTATTAACTGAAGATTAATAAATCAAATAAATCAAATAAATCAGGATAATAGGAAAAATATTAACCTTCACCACGAAATCCATACGTTCGTACTTTAGATAAATCTTCCAAAGAATGACATTTTGACGTAGCTATAATATATGCATTGTTTAGAAGAAGCAAGAAAAACCTATAAAATATTATAGAATATTGTTTTCGAAAATATTTTTTATACCATGACGCGTGCAAATTTGATTCATATCTTCAGGTTTTATTCCAGTCCCATTATCAATCACTTGTACAAAATACTTTGTCACGTCAACATGTATTTCAATTGTGGTCGCCAAGGCGTCAAGACCTATAAATAATTTAAACATATTCATAAAACAAGCACTTTGATATCGAAAAAGGTTTATAGTACACGAGAATCTTACTGTTCTGAACAAGTTCAAGGACACATTGTGAAGTAGAATTAATGGAAGAAGAACGTAATTTTTGGATAGCTGCTTCTTCTAAAAGACAAATAGACATTTTTTGATATATGTAGACTTGTACTAAAACTATAGGTTTAAATTATCAAATTCTCCTGCAGATATAATTTTGATTTTTAAAATACACTTTATTACTTTATTTTTTTTTTTCTCGAAATAAAATAAACTTTATCACTTTATTGAATGTATGTCTAATAAAAATAAATATTTTATAGTATATACTTACACAAAATTTCATTATCTTCTTTCTAATAAAGTCAACCGATGTGTTCATATCTCAACAGTCATTAATGAAAAAAAAGTAAAAGACTATTTTGATTCGCCTTAGAATGATACTCCTTTAACTGGTTCCTATTGTCAATAGATAAATCGCTGAATGTATTATAATAAGGATTAAAATAAAATGCAAAAATAAAGAAACTGTATGCCGCGTTTACTAGTATTTTCTTTTTCTTAATTAGTAAAAATCTGCGTTTGGAAAAGATTGGGGGTAGATCACGAGATAATCTAATCTGGAGATCAATATATAATAAAATACTTTATGTATATACTTATATACTTATGATAATGTCTGGAAGAAATACATTTTCCATCGGGAGATCTCCACCTATTGATCAAAACTTAATTAATGAACTAGAACGACAAGCCTATGGTATATCCAATGATTTAGAAACCATGCTTCAAAATCTCCAATCACAAATGTTTGAGGTTAACTCAGTTATTATGTATTATACTAAATTATTATAAATTATTATTATTATTGTTATTGCTATTATTATTATATTTAATATTTAATATTTAATATTTAATGTAGGCATCAGTTTTGACATCAGCTTCTTTTGATGTATATAACCAAGCAATCACAAATAATGGTATAGCTTTAAATCAAGCAATTATCAAAACTCGAGAGTTAATTGAAATATGTGTTAAATTAGATAAAGAATTTGTTAATGTAGAAACATTGGCTAGTAATATGTATGTTATTTTTAAAATACATAAATTGATTTATATAATTCATTTAGTTGTGTAATTGATTTTTATACATATTTCTATTATTATAGTAAGAATATTCGACATCAAGTAGATGCGCTTCATTCAGCAATTGGAAAATAACATAAAAAAAAAATAAAGAAATAAAAAATAGATAACCAAGAATTATTTATTATTATTCTTATTGTAAATTCAACTTTATTTATTTATTATGATTTTTTTAAAGTGCAGCCAATCCAGTTGCAGACAGAATGGATAATCCAACTACTGCATATCCTGTACGATATACACCTTTTAAACTTAAAGCTCCACCAACATCCCAGATCTGTTAAAATTATTAATATAAATTTAAAATTAGTTATATAATAGGTATGAAAAGTGAGGGGAAAATATGTATAATAGAAAATACAAAAATTTAAATAAAAATTAATTAATTTACCAAATGTCTAATTCCATTAAAGGAATGATAAGTAAATGGTAATGCTAAAGTGAATTTTCCAATATATTTAATTGCAGGTGGAAGGTTTGCTACCGAAGTAACAATCGAATCAGAATTAAACTCTAATCCAATCGGTCCACTAAGAGCATAAGCAATTGCACCACCATAAAAAACTTTAGATTCATATAAATTTGAATAATTAATAATTAAATAATCACATATATATATATATATTTATATTTATATTTATATTTATCACTATTGAAATGCCTATTGAATATATTTAAAGATATGATTTAATATATATTTCATAAACTTACCAACACCTAAACCCGCCCCGGTTAATCTATGAAGAATGGACATCGTCGATGTTAATTGTGGTTGATAAATAGTGAACGGGGAAAGGGGTCGAACTTTTCTTTGAGCATTAAGAATTTGATTATGTTCAGTAGCTGTTGTTTGAACGGGTGCATTAAAAGAATTATGTCTAACGTTTTTTCTATAAAGAATTGATTAAGAATTTTTAATTAATGATAAAATTAATTAATTAATATTAAAATTAAATTCAAAGTTAAAATATTACCTCATTAAAAATTGCAAGGCATTTGTATTTCTCGATACGGAAGTCCTCACAAGCGAATCTACGCATTTTTTATTTATTAATTCTAAATGATCTTTTTCTTAAAAAGAAAAAAAAAGCGAGAGAGAGGAGAGAACAACTCAAATTTGCATACTATAACCCACAATTCTCCAAGGTTGAGAGAAGCTTATAGTATTCATCCTTGTTAAATAAGATTTTAAATAATAAAATAAAATAAGTAAATTAATTGAAATAATTGATGATCCCAATTAAGATTAGATTTCCAATTATCATTGGTCTATTTTTAAGTTGGAATTTCTTTTTTAAATGATAATCTTATTATGTAATTTAACATTGTTTATTATAAATTTATACTGACGATTGTCATTTGCATTTAGTCAGCTTTTAGAATTTAGAACACGAGATGACAAATCTCTCGGAAAAAATTCATTTATAAAAACCTCCCTTATTTCTTCCCTTTTTTTAAAAAAAAAAAATTATATACATTTCAAAAAATATATATATTTCAAAAAAAATATATATTTCAAAAAAAAAAAAAAAAATTAAAATAATGGTTAAAGATCAAAATTGTAAAATTTCTACTTTAAATAATTATAATGAAAATTATGAAATAAATTGTGAAAATAAAACAAAATTTACAAATGGAAAATCAAAAGTTCGTTTTGATTCTATCGAAGACGCTATTAAAGATTTTGGTAAATTTTTAAATAATTATATACATATTAATTACATATTAATTATATATACATATTAATTACATATTACCCCATATATTAACCACAATTACATATTAATCACAATTGTATTTAATAGCGGAAGGCAAATTTTTGTTGGTAGTAGATAATGAAGACCGTGAAAATGAAGGAGATCTAATAATTGCTGCAGAAAAAGTGACTACAGAAAAGATGGCATTCATGGTTCGACACACTAGGTAAAGATTTAATGATATATATTTCTATTTTTATATATATATATATATTTTGACATCGAGTTCCTCATTTTTCAATTTTTTTTTTTTTTAAAAAAAAATATATATATATATAATTAAAAAGTGGATTGATTTGTGTACCAACTACACATGAACGTTTAGATCAATTACAATTACCTTTAATGGTACCGCAAAATACCGAAAAAATGAAGACTGCATATACTATATCTGTAGATTATAGTCATAGTGAGTTTTATTTATATATATATATTACGTATTTATGATAATAGATGATAATAGATAATAATAGATATAGATATAAAAGCATAATTAATTAAGTATAAAATTAAGGAGATATTTTTATTTTTATTAGACACGACAACTGGTATATCGGCACATGATCGTGCTTTGACGGCACGTTCACTAGCAAATCCCGAAATCGATAATCCTGATGATTTCAATCGACCCGGTCATATATTTCCATTAAGATATACCGAAGGTGGTGTATTAAAAAGGATTGGTCATACTGAAGCATCAGTAGGTAAAGTTATCAATAAAATTATTTTAATAAAGATTTTACATTAGTAAATTTTCATCAATAATATTTGATTGATTTGATTTGATTTGATTTGATTGATTGATTTAATCAAATTTATTTTTTTTTTATTGTTTTTAGACTTATGTAAATTGGCTGGTTTACAACCTGTTGGAGTTATCTGTGAAGTAGTTAAAGATGATGGTTTAATGGCACGTCGTGATGATTGTCGTGCGTTTGCTGATGAACATGGATTAAAATTGATTAGCATCGAGGATATTATTAAATATCGTTTAGATAAAGGACTTTTAGATATTTAAAAAAAAAATGAATTTTTATTCATTTTTAATTCATTTTATTTATTTTTTATTTATTAAAGTTTTTTCAATACTATGATTAAAATGATGGTAATATAATAATAATATGGGAATAGTAATAGAAATAATGAATGAATAATATATAAATAATTATTTTTTATTATTTTTATAATACATTTTTTATAGAAAGAAAATAGAAATATAGTTTCATAATTAGGTTCAGGGTAATATTGTAATATATATATAAATTATTAAAATATACAAAACCTTAATTGAATAAATAATAAAATTTTCATGCAGCATTTTTCATTGGAGTTTCTGGTAATCCAAGTTCATTCAATTTCTATTTAATTATAAATTATTATAATCAAAATATTATTATTGTTTATCATTTATTATATATTATAATAATTATTTATAATAATAAAAATTGTTATTATTATAATAAATATTATTATTATTAAAAATTCTTTTAATTTCATAATTATAAGTATAATTACCTCTGTACCACCTTCTAATTCTCCAAGCAGATCAGATGTCTCTTGTAAATATGAAGGTTCTTCTTCCTCTTCAAAATTTAATTCATCCCCCAAAGCATCCAATTCTAAAAAAAAAATGAATTTATTGAATTTCCATTTATTCTTATAATATACATCTGTGTGCGTATATGAATTTAATCAATTTAATTAACTTTTTCAAATTACCTGCTTCCAATTCTTCTTCATCAATATCATCGGGAACGCCGTACGTTCGCCCGAGCGTTTCTTGTATATCATTAGCCTGTTCTAACAAATCTTCCATATCATCTTGAATACTCTAAAATTTTTTAAAAAAAAAATAAATATTTGATAGAGAAAATAAATATAAATAAGAGAGGAAAATAATAATAAAAGAGATAGAAAGTGTATTTGAGTACCTCAATCTTATTTATGTCAATCTTCTTATAATGTTTTTGTAATTCTTTATTAGCTAACTGCATCGCATCTATAGTGGTAGCAACATTACGTAAATTTTCCGTTGTCATAGAGGCTTGTTCCATATTAAAAGATTGCTGTTGAAGTTGGTCGCGTTGAGCTTCATATCTAAAAAAAAGCAGAAATCATAAAAAATTTTAATTAAAGGAAAGGAAAAAACAATCAATAAAAGATTAATTAGAGTACGTTTTTTTTTGCTTCAAAACACGCATCGCTTTACTTTTAATAGCATTCTATAAAAAAAAAATATGTAAACATATATATAATTTAGAGATAATCAAAAAAGTTTCTATTGTGCAAATAAATTTGATTTATCTAAATATTATTTCTACCTTTGCTGGTCCATCCCGCACTTTTTTCATTTGATCTTTATATTTGGCTAATTCCGCTTCAAGCTTCTTTATCTTGACTTCAACTGCATCGACTCGATTATCAGTCTTTTAAATTGAACGTTTAATGAGTAAAATTTGTCATTATATCGATAATAATAATAATAATTATCATCATAACCAACCGCGGATATAGCATCGTTTAAAGTAGGTTTGGGTGTCTTTTTACCAGTACCAAAGATACGATTCATAACAGATAATAGTTTTAAATGATTAGAAGAGGAGACGACGTAAATCCAAATAGGGTTATGCTCTCGGATTCGGTATCACGTGATTGTAATCAATACGTGCTTTAACTTTGGCTGACTGAATATCTAATCTTAAATTTTATATATTTTATATTCGTTTTTCATTTACCAAAAAGGATCTCAATTTCGAGACGCGCGTTTTAATGAGTCGCGTTAGAAGACCTTCGTGTGTTATTCGCTTTAGGTGAGAAATGTTTCATGTACAGTGAACCCTCTATAAATGCACTCCCGGGGAATTAGCATTAGAGTGCATTTATAGAGGGAAATTTTATAAATATTTATTAGTAGATGAGGCTGGAGTATAGGGTACATTTATAGAGGGGTTCACCTTATAGAGTGTGCATTTTTTTATTTTGGTTCAATATAAGAATTTCTCAGTACATTACGTATTTTACATTTTTTTAATTGTAACGCGAATTTCAATAAAACATATTTACATATTCTATTTTTGCTTGTGAAGATAAATAATTGAATGAATAATTAATTATCTTAAAAAAATCCGGTGGGAATATAATCATAAGATCGAAAAGAATGAAAAACTATTGAAACATATATATCTTATCATTATGACATCAAAAGTCAAAAAAAATAATAGCGTCAAACGTATATATATATTCCCAAGGAAAGTTATTTTGCAAAAACTGCTTTATTTTTTACAAAATAAATACTCGCCATAGAACAAATTATGGCATTTCTTTATATTGATACCAATTTACATAGACTTGTGGTGGTAATCGAAATAGTAACTACGGCGGTTGTTGCAACTGAGAAAGTAAATTCAATCGTGGATACCGTAATCACTTCCTTTTCTACCAACACTTCCTCTTCCACCACCAACACCGGCTTATATTTAAGGAAACGAACTATTTTCGATTGGTTGGAAAAACGGTCTTAGTTATAAAGAATGACAAAGGCTTCTCGAATTAGGATATAGTGATAAGAGTGGTTGTTTTACTTTACAAGAGTTAAAATATATCATTTTATGCTGGTAAAGCACCAAATAAACCAGGAAAAGAACATGGATACAAACCACCCAGAGGTTGGGATGGTATATGAAAGAGGATATCCTCATAAAGATGGTAGCGTTTGGGTTCCGACAGGCGAAGGAGGTGATAATCCTGAAGGTAAAGTCTCATGGCAGAGCTCATTGAGATGTTCAACGTCCCCAAAACAAGAGTGGTAACCCGATGGAAGGGTTAGATGGAGTAAAAAATGAACAAAGTTCCATTTTTTATTCAGAGTTTTTCAAGGAATATAAGTAGTTTGGTGGGATAATGTTTCTTTTTATTATACATTCGCATCATAAAATAATGTTCCATAAATGTTTTTTATCAACTCTATTTTTTCGTATCTCTTCAATAGTTTCTTCCTTTCCTCTTTTGTTTGCGTTTCTTGCTCAAAAATCTTCAATAAACTCGATATTTTGACCATTAGGAAAAATTCAATTAATACTATAAATGAGATAATAACAACTTACCATTCCATCAATTACTTGTATACATTTTTTAAACTTAATATTATACGTATAATATATCTTATTGTATTTGAACAAAAAAGATAAATAAATATTATTTTTAATTTTTATTAAAAAACCACAATATCAATAATATGATAATATCAATTGAATTATTATACATTAAATTCTAATAAGAAAATCCAATAGCTAAATTCAACAAAAAATTAAATAAACTAATAATTTAAGTTAAGCCAATCCTGCCTTCTCCATTTCCTATTATTAAAAAAAAAATAATGAATTCAGTTTTATTAATGTAAATAAATGTAAAGAAAATATTTATTAAAAAAAAAACATACAGTTCTTAAACTAGTTCCCAATTTTGCAGGACTTTTTGATACAATAACACCAGCAGATTCTAAAGCTTTGATTTTATCAGTTGCACTTCCTTTTCCACCAGCAATAATAGCTCCAGCGTGGCCCATTCTACGACCGGGAGGAGCAGTTAATCCAGCAATAAAAGATACAACTGGTTTTGGTGTATCACGTTTTAAATTATGTTCTTTAAGATATTCTGCTGCTTCTTCTTCAGCTGTACCTCCAATTTCTCCAATTAATATGATACCTTAAAATATATATATATATAAAATATATTGTTTGATTAATGGTATAATATATAATATATAAATAATATATATAATAATATAAAATAATATATAATAATAATATATAATATATAAATTGTAAATTACCTTCAGTTTCATCATCTTCCAAAAACAATTTCAGACAATCCACAAAATTTGTACCATTAAATGGATCACCTCCAATTCCCACACACAGAGATTGTCCAAGATTTACTTGAGTTGTTTGATTAACTGCCTCATAAGTCAAAGTTCCGGACCTTGAAACAATTCCTATTTTACCTTTTTGATGAATATGTCCCGGCATAATACCAATCTTACATGAATCAGGAGCAATTATACCAGGACAATTGGGACCAATAAGGCGAGTCTTACTTTGAGATTTTAAAACTTTTAAAACCTTGACCATATCTTTTTGAGGAATTCCTTCAGTGATAGTGACCACCAAAGGTATTTCCGCTTCAATACTTTCTAGAATTGCTGCCGCCGCGAAAGGTGGAGGTACATAAATTACAGATGCATCCGGTTTTACTTCACGAGCAGCCTAATTATTATTTATTATTAGAATTATTATTATTTTAAATAATATTAATAGATTATATTATATAGTAAATTAATTAATTAATTAATTAATTAATCAATTCTAACTTACTTCCATCACACTATTGAATACTGGCAAATCTAGGTGAGTCTTGCCACCTTTTCCCGGAGAAACGCCACCCACCATTTTTGTACCATATTGAAGTGCTTGTTGGGAATGGAAAGTGCCCTTTTTTATAATTATTTATTAAATAAATGTTTTAAAAAAAAAAAGAGAGAATTTAAAAAAATAGAACATATATATTACGATAATTTTTAAATGTTAAATTATGCTAATGCAAACAAAATTATATAAAATTATTAAAGAATCCACTTGGAAAAAAAAGGGTCAACCTTGAGAAATTGCGAATAAAAAGTAAATTTTTATTAATTGTTTATGCAGGAGTTTTTTTTTTTTTTTATTAATATTTACTACGATGAAAAGACTACTTTATTCAGTTCATTTAATTCTATAAGTTAATATATATATGTATATATATATACATATATATTTTTTTGAATCTTACTTGTTTCCCGGTAAAACCCTGACAAATTAACCGAGTTTCTTTAGTAAGTCGCATATTCTTAACAGTATCTTCATATGAGAGTCGAACAGCGCTGAGAGAAAACTCTCTTCTGCTGCAACATACTAAAGAAAATATATATATATGTGTGCGTGTATATAAATGAAATTATGAATTGAATATGAAATTTTAGATTGGGATTAAAAAACAAAAAACTTACAAGTCTGTAATTTTGGTTTTAAAGAACGAAATGAAGATAGACACATAGACATGTTTCGAAACAAGAAAGAATTCGATGTCAAACAAGATTTTTTATATTGTAATAGGGATCATCTTGATAATCCATTCAAACGATAATACGATAATCAAAAAAAGGATCTGATTTCAAGGTTTAGATTAATTGACCGCGTGATGTGTGATATCTTATCCATTGTTTTTTTATCAGCTGAATCAACTTACAATTTATCTTTCATACCTATTTTAAAACCAATATGAAATTATAATAAATCAGTTAAAATTAAATGAATGTTTTCATGAATTAAAAGCTTTATTTTTAGTCTCTTGTTTTTTTCTAAATTATTTCGTTGATATTTCTTTTGGCATACAACAATCCATTTTTGATTCTATATATAAGTCAAGCGTGCCATTTAAAAAAAAATCTTATAAATGACAGAAACTATTTTTATATTCTTGAAACGATGTTAGATTTTCTAAATGATGAATATATTATTTTATACCCGGTCTTGACTTCCATACTAAACATCCAAATGCGAATGGTATAAAAGTAAATACTATCCAAGTTGTGATATTCGCGTAAATTTTTCCGAAGAATAAAAAGTAACATTTCTCAAATTGACTAAATACGATTGGTACATTATAAAGATTTTCAACATTTTTACCAGGCTTTTTTTTTTCTTTCTGCTACTAATGATGAAATATGTTCGAGGAGCGAAAAGTGGAGACGATTGAATTACAAGTTCTTCCTACCAAGAAACTGTCACGACAAGCGCAGGAATAAAAGACTTAAGTGGGAACGGGAACATAATCAAGCAACTCAAGAACCGGAATATATCTCCAGCAACAAATGATATAGTACTCAATCCGTCAAGGTATATATATTATTTAGTAGTCTTCTTTTATATTGGGTTGTTTTTGCGTGATAGAAAAGTTGTTCAGACTACTTGCACGAGTTTGTTCTGGAATTTTATAAGGTCGTAGTCAACTATACTCCAGTGGGGTAATGGCTCAGTGCGTCAGTAAGGGCAACTAGTTCATTCCGCAAGAAACAATCACTAGTCGAATACAAAAAAAAAATCACTGTATCGAATGGAAATTCCTATATTATAGATCAGCTAAAATCGGAATTCCTATATTATAGACTAGCTAAAATCAACCGTCCTATTTTATCCTATATTATAAATCAGCTAAAATTGGAATTCCTATTTGCGCCGCCTATTCTTTTGTGTTTGACCTGTAAATGCATCTAGTTATTATATTGATCTTATTTAACAAGACTTACTTTTGAATTAACTTTAAGCATCCAACACTGTTCGTGACAATTTATTATCAGGAAATGATTTTACTGATCGAGACTATCTCCTCGTGACCTGCTTATCGAAGCTTTGATTAGGAAGGCAAGACTAAGTCGTCCTGATTTCTTACATTGATCGGCACAGATCTTATTAACAAATGAAAAAGGAAAACAGAAATTGGACTATCTATATCATTGTCAACTGCCAAAGCTAGTGAGTGGTTATGGATTTCCTTTGGGCGATTAAGAAACAATTAAATGATGGGATGTACGACAATGTGTCAGAAATAAATGGAAAAGAACCCAGCATAGTCATACCTTGAGCTTACAAAATAATAAAGACCTTTCTGACGTGACCACTGCTTGTACAATCCAAACGGAGAAGACCCAGCTGATTGTATCGGAAATGATTAGACCCTATTCCATCCCACCTTTGAACAACTCAATAATCAAATAGCCATGATTCTAAATTAAATTCATATTCCAATTACAAAAAAAGATTATATTAAGACTGATGATGACAGATACCTTTTGTGGATTATCTGAATCTTCAAGTCTAATAAAAAGTGAAAAAAAAACATGTAAAAATTCATATATACATTAAATTAAACATTAAATAGATAATAAAATAAAATCAATATAAAATTTATTTAATAATACGTATTATTTAGGTATCTGTTAGCTACTATTTTTTCAAATAGTACCCAGGTCACACGGCGAGGACGTCAATACCCATCGTGACCCCCGAAAGAGAAATCTATCCTAAAAAAAAAAGAAATCCCTATCCTAAAATAAAAAAAAATTTTTTTTTTTTTTTTTTTTTTTTTTTTTAATATATTTTATAATATTAAATCAAATTTTTGTTAATTTTTAAAAGATTCACCTGCCAAAGAAGAAAAAAACATTTGACGAAGATAAAAAAAAAAGATAAAACAAGTAACAAAAATATATATAAAAAAAAAAAAAGATAAAAGTGACATGTACGAATTATCAAAAGAATGTGTACTTGACCCACCGAAAGAAAATAACAAGTTAACCAACCACAACCAATTCAATCATCATCAAGAATGAAAGCATTCTGACGTAAAAGAACTGGTTGACCATTATACTGAGGTAATGGCAAACCAACACTAAAAGGCTTGTACACATTTTTGATGCGACGATTCAAATCCTGTCGTCGCACGACCTGACTTCTAGAGTTAGAACGAGTGTTCCTAGTCCTTTGGTCAGGTAAAGGACGTACAACAGCAGGAGAGAAAGGACCAACATCGGGCAGGTGAATGTTAAATTCCCTAGCCATTGCACGCGTAACCCTCCTTTTTGAAATATCAGAAAAATTAACTCGACTAGCAGGCATATTAAAAATTTAAAAAATTAAAAAATAAAAAATAAAAAGTGCAAGGCCAACTAATCTAAGAAAGTAGTTAAATTAAAATACGAGAAGATCTAAACGAAAATATAAGAAATGGCTAACTAGACCCTTCACTCTTACAGGATTGAGACAAGAAATAATAATTAACTAAATAAAAATAACGAAATTATATTTTTTGGCTAAATATAAATAAAATTTACAAGAAGTAGATATAATATTTTAAGCTCGTTTTCTAGTTACAACAGAGAGAGAGAAGGGCAAAGAAAAAAAAACAAAAATTCATGGGCAACACCTTTATTTATTTATTTAGGTAGTTACACGAAAATAATTAGATTATTTACGCGAATACATAATTTATCTGATTATATTATTATTTATTTGATTATTATTTTTAAGCGCGCAAATATTCTTGCATAATTATTATTTATTATTGCACGCAAATATATAAATATTCTTACGAAATTTGTTGTTAAATATACGCGTAAGATTTACATAAATTCTAACTCAGACATTACCTACAAGCCCTGGCAAAGTGCCCCTGTTCCAAGTACAGTGTAACATACTAAGGTCTTTTGATCAGCATATTAATTAAATTATGACTACAGAATTATCTCAAGAATTATTTACGAAATCTTTACAGAGGAGTATTATTCCATAAAGGTATAATATTTTTTAAATCATTTATTGTATTTTTTTTTTGTAAATTATACATCGGCATAATTATGGGGTTATTAAAAGATCGGAAAGCAAAAGGCGTCGCGTGCTAGAATTTCCGACATAATCACGAGAAAAAAAAATTAATGATCATAATATTCATCAAATACTATTTTTTGAATATCCCAATTGAAGGCTCTTAAAATCTTGTGCAAATGTACTGAAAAATAAAGTTGATAAATATAGCACATGGCGACTGATTCTAATCGATTTTCTTTTTGTTCATGATCTAATTATAAACTGATCAAATCGATCTGGACATATTTTATTAAAAAGATTCATAAAAATATATCGAACTCTGATGACAGATGACATACTGTACACATCTCCGTTTTTACAATCGGTCTGACTAATATTATATGACTTCAAGACCTTCCACAAATAATAATCTTCCTATAGCGCCATAAGTGAAATAGTTTTCACCAAGAACTCAGGTCAATTTCCAAGGCAAATTGCCTGAAACGTTCAGTAATCCAACGTGGTACTATCTTGGCAAACGTTTTGTTATTGGTATGAAGTTTTTGTGCTTGAAATTCGCTTTATGAGTAATTAATCCCTGACTCGTAGTTAATAAGACTTTTCAAACCACTCATATTGATAGGTTGACAGTTATCCGAAAGAAAGTTAACATTACATGACCTCCTCAATCTCACTAATGTCATTCTTGGTACATTCGGGAATTTCAATTGTAGAATTGACAAATATTAAATGTCCCTCCCTTTTGTAAACTGTGTAACACCCTCAAATGTGAAATCCTGGAGCGCACTGTATTCATTTATCGATAGCTTGCTTCCACAAAAGTCTTTGATTGTTGCCTATAACTTTATTCGAGTTAAATCATAATCATGAAACTTTTATGATCTGTAATTATGTCATATGACTATCAAGTATAGATTATCTAATATACAAAATTTCCTTTTTTGTAAACAAACCAAAGATCGCAAAATGTGATAAATAAAAGTTTCGTCAGAATACATCATAACCGTTTTTTTCTCCTTCACTTTTTTTTTTGTTCTGACTTCTTTTTTTCATTTTTTTCCGCTTTTCTAATTTCAAGTTTACTATTATTATCATTAAAGAATAAAATATTAACCTTTTTTTTTCTTTCTTTTTCATATATATTAGTACGATATACTTGGATCCAAAGTGCGCGTTTTCTATTACTATTGTTTTCTGTTTGTTATACTAAATGTCAATTCATAAGTTTAGAAGAAAGAAGATTTTAGAAGGTTATGGAAGATACTGGGATTTTGAGGTAAGTGGCGACGTATAGGACCGTGTTGATCGTGGCCTGTGCCTATGCGTCGTCTCTATTTGTAGGTTTCCTAACTCGAGCGAATAGAAAACGATGATAATGTAAGCGTTTTAAATTTTTATTGATAGAAAAGCGGAAATAGAAAAAAAAAAGAAATTTTCATGTATATATATTATTATTTTCTTAATGAATAAAATAAAATTTTGAAAGAAGTATTGAAATTATCTTTATTTTAATTAAAAAGTGTTCATTACATATTATATTGATTGAGTGCACGTATACATCTGAAAAAAATATATATATATATATATATGCATAATTTTTACTTCGTTTAAATGGTTAAAAAATAAGCGACATTTTTGAGACAAACTAGTGTTTGAGGGACGAGTTATTCTTCGAAGTTTTTTGCTGTTAAATTCTTCGAGATGAATTAATATTTCAGGTGAGATATAAAGTCTAATGAAAATTAAGAAGAGATATAGAATATATCATTTAAATATTTTACATCAATCTTTAATTTCATTTCAGAATCATCATCATCATCACATCACTAAATTCTTTAAAAATTTCAAAAATAATTGATGATGAAAATTCTAAATCAATGAAAAGAACCCAAAATGCTAGATATGTTTGAAGGAACATGCCAAATCAAGTAAATCGAACAAATCAGAACAAGGAAATTTAGGAATGATAGAATTGTCATTCACTTTAATCCATAGTAATAATTAAAAGTATAATATTCATGAGGACTAGCATCGGAAGGTAGAATCTATTTATAAAATAGAATTGAAAGAACGAAAGAGAGAATATAATTTAATACGTTCTTTTGAATAATTTAAATAATTCAAAACAGGTGATAAAAACATTTCAAAAAAAAAAGGAAACGTCGAAAGTCAATAAAAAAAGCATAAATCTAAAAATCAAAAATCTCATGAACGCCTCAAATAATCTAAAGAAGAAACTACCTCAAGCAGTGATGGTTAATTGATTATGCCAGTTCCAATAAAAAGTTTGAAAAAAGAAAATGTAAATGGAAAAGATATTATAAATGTTGTTGATGAGAAAGATTGATGAACTTTGGGTTGGGTTTGAGAAAAAAGTATGATTCTAAATTTTTTGGTAAAAACTTTTTACAAGACTAAAATCATTAATGATTAAGTTACTCGTATTAAATTTTGGACCTGTTAAGAAGGCAAGCACATTCCACGTCATGGTGAAACTCAATTCTTTCGAAGATATATCATGAGTGAAGTCGGTATTTTCTTTTAACAAGTATTATTTATAAGCACCCATTTTGAAATCACGAAATTGAATAATTTCAAGGGTATTGCTAAAGCTCACCGGAGGTGAATTATATATGATACTTGGATTAGTAATCCAAAAATCTTATTTACATTTTGTACATTTTTCCTTTGAAAAGTTTATTTTATTATTTTTTTCTTATCAAGTTTTTATCAAGTTAATGAATGAATTAGGTTTTAGGTTTTAATTAAGTCTTAATTAAGGTTTCGAATCAAAGATTTTGAATAAATTATTTGATTAAGTTCCGATTGGTTTTGATTAAAGTCTTTGATTTATGTTATATCACAAATCAAATATGATCGTCAATTTTTGCATTATTCCATTTAATATTGTTCTCATATTTATTATCTTTAAAGAATTTCTTTGATAAAATTATTTTTCATTATTCATTTATTTTATTTTATTTTACTTTCATAATTATCCCAAATTTCCAATTTAGAAAGATCGCTCATGTCAGAAAAGTTGGACTTGATATGTAAATTATTTACTCTTGATTGCATTTAATTTTTTCCCGATATATCATGAATTTAATTGCTAAAGTTTCAGATTAAAAATTTACTCGAATAAATCAGATGATATAGAATTTGGATTCTAAAAATCTGTACAAAAGTCCAGAAGTTGATTCATTAAATACACTGTCACAACCAAAATATTTCACGCTTTCAGAAAGCAAGTAACATAAACCTTCAGTGGTTTTTGTTAATTGAATTTATTTTTGATACTGCGTGTTTCGTATAGTCGTATAGCTATATAACTGATGTTCCATTTTTGTTCTGTTCAAAGTATCGATAGGAAATAGTATAAAAACAATAGATAGATTTGATTCTTTTCAATTTTTATTATAATCAATAAAGCAAAAGGTGCATTGACGCGATTTTAACCAATATTTTTTTCATGTGTTTAAACTTTGAATGTATGTGAGTTTTATATAAAACAATGGGAAACACACAATCCACAATCAAGATTACTGAACTCGGAAAGGAGAATGCTTTGCTTACAGCTGAAAAATGTTGTGCCCTTGACCATGAAGCCAAATTCAGGAATCTAGAACAAAATGATAAAGAAAAGAGCAACCGTATTGCTAAATTGGATGATGATATCAAGGAAATCAAACAATCATCGGCTAATACTAATATTTCTCCTAAAATAAATTTTGACAATGCATCCAACTTTGATGTATGCCAGGAGTCAAATTCACCTATTCTATATCGTTAAAGAAAAGGAGGAAACCAATTTCCCGGATTAGAAAATATTAATTCGTTAATTATTTTTCCGGTAAGATATTAATTAGGAAAAAATAAATCGATTGTGCCACATATAACTTTTTGTACAGTGGGGGACGGTAACCGATATACCTCAGAAAGGAAAGGTGGTACAAGAATTTTTTTTAGCCAAATGATAGCTTTTTGACTAGGTTAAAAAATTTTTCGTTTTCTTTTTTTTTTCCAAATTATAACCCTTGAAATATTATCTAATCATATATTATCTGGTGATATTTGGCCACCATGTAAAATGTAATTTCTGGCTGTAATTATAATGAGGTCATTAAAAAGAAAGCAGCAACTTTGTACAAATGCTATATATACATGTTCTGCTTGGCAAGTGACACTCCTGGCTATTAATATCAGGTCAAAATTCAAATATCGGATATCTATCAGGTACCTATTGGCCTCCTGATATTTTCAAATATTGGATAATTATTGGAAAATTATCAGGTGCATGAAATATTTTTATATATATTGGAAGCCCAATATCTACATTTTTTTTTAAAGGCCTAATAGTACTTTTGTAAATTTTATAATGCACCCGATAGCTATGCAATAAATTTTATTTTAATTTCAGGTACCTGATATTTTATTAATATCAGGTATATGATAATAAATAGTAATATTGAGAGCATGATATTTTTTTTAAATTTATTTAAGTATCTAATATTTATAGTAAATTTTGATAAATCACACCAGTGGTATTCAATACCAGTTAATTTTTAATCAATAAAAATAGAGCATATAATTCATAATGTAGTAATTTTTAACAAATAAAAATATGTAATTTATAATGCATGTATGTTGTCACCAGTGGTTCCTAGTTTTCTTGAGAACAAACCAGTAGAGTGACTTAATAGTTCTTTGAAAGAGTTTATAGTCCTTTTTCAAAAATAAGACTATTGTTCAGTTATTTTAGAAGGCATTACTAATTCAATTATTTTAGAAAGAAAATCAAACCTTTCATCCAATTTACTCCAATATCTTTTCAAGTTCATCATCATTTTTTAATATTAATATCAATCCATTAATTATTTTCCAATTTAATTATCATTGAATATTATATCTATTTGTTCAAGTTAAAATATTATTTCAAGTCCAGGGTTTATAATAATCATTTATAATTAATTTCATTAACTCAAGAATAATAATATTATACAATTATACAACCAAGTATTTAATTCCATAATATCTATTATTCCTTTGTTAACTACATGTTTTATCATTTAATAATTATCTTTTTAATTTATATTTATTTTTTCAATATTTATTATTTTATTAATTATATTACAAGATAATTTTTACAAGTATTTATCTTAGAGTTACAAATTATAAAATTAAATTCATCAAATTTTAAATAAATTACAAATTATCAATATTCAAAATTATAAAATTGTAAACTAAAGAGGGACAAGGTAATTTCAGTTCCTTTTTATATTTAAATCTAATGATCTTTATTACTGTACCATTACTGTGTACTACTGTACCTTACTGTACTCTACTACTATTGATTACTATTCCTTTATATTATTTACTTAATATATCTAATACTAAATAATACTATATGTTACTAATTATTGTTAAATAATAATATGTGATAATAATTAATATTATGAATTGATAATTATAATAATCGTGATAACAATGATAATGATGATAATAATGATAATGATGATAATAATGATAATAATAATGATAATAACAATAATGATAATAATAATAATAATGACACATTATCATTATTACATAATTATAATGATGATGATGATAATGATAATAATAATAGTAGTAGTAATAGTAGAAGTAGAATTAGTGCTACTACGGATGCCACCATCTCCACTGCTGCTACCACTGCCACTACTGCCACCACTGCTACTCGCTTACGTAAAACAACAATATCGATTTTTATTAAAGATAAATGGTGGCGATCTGATTCGGTAAGTAGATCAATGGTAATAATGTTTTTACACCTATCGGGTATGATATTAAATGATATTTTTTATAGTTAAAAAAGTTACTGCACAAAAGAATTGACCCAGTAATCGATATTGTGTGCAAACCGCTAAAAGTGTCCAAAACCAAAATCAAATTTCCGCGACATATACTAAAAGAAGTAGAAATATCAAAAAATACTCCAATTTGGATGTTAAATATAACAACACTTAGAAAATTAAAGTAAAAAAATATAATCATTCCAATCTATGATCCAGATACCACTGATCAATATGATAATAATAATAATAGTGATGACAATAATGATCATAAAATAGGAACAAGTAGTAAAAAAAGAAAACAGAAAGATAATAATAATAATTATGAAGTAGAAACTAATAGTAAAAAAAAAAACAAAAAGGAAAGGAAAAAGAAAAAATCAAAAATCAAAAAAAAAATTAAAAAAATAATTAGATAGATTATTTTATATAGCATATATAATATATTTCGTTTTATACTTTTCATAATAAATGTATTTCATTTTATTATCTTTTTTATAATAAACTAAAATTATGATTATTTGCAAA